ACACACAAAATGTATAACCAAATTTGGAGCATAGTTTAATGGTGTTGGCACAAAGTTTAGTGGCGATGGTTCTTTTTGGCACATGAAAGATGGCAACTGCATCCCACTTCGATACACCAAGCCTGCATTACCTACACGTTTGACCAACCTAATACCAGCAGATGACCAATCTCCACAGTCTGACTCCGATTTGGATATCGATAATGATCAAGACTCTGTCTCTGAAGATTCCGACTATGCGTAGAACCTCTGATTTGTCACATCTATCCGTCCTTAAAGGTATGTTGCAACAAATTAAGACATTTACCATACCTAGTAAGAGAGCGCAGGGTTGTGTATGTAACTGATGGGCAGATAAAAACAATCAAGCTAATTTGACATTGTGGCCACCAGTAAACTGGTGTAAACTGCATTGTGACACTTAACAAAAATGAACATGGCTTTGTTGTCACTCCTATCGTATTTTAACCCTAGAATGAAACTGCTCTTTCTCATTCAGTGTGAGAGTGCATTACAGCACAATTTAGGTCAATTAAACATTTTTGACCCCAAATGACCCCATTTTGGCCTTATAATGACTCCTTACATCAATTGAATATGGTTTTCTAAATTAAAAAAAAAAAAAAAAATCATTCACTATTATTCATCAATTTACACATAATTTGACACAAATAACTCCTAAGTCTGTTAGTGTATTTTGATCCCAAAGGAGCTCATTTGACCCCTAATGACCTTGTTTTGACCCCTTATATCTTTTGAATACGGTCTTCTTAAGTAGAAATTGTCTCATTCAAATTTCTAAATCAAAATACATATAAATAGACACAAAAAACATGAAAATTGATCGATCCTAACACTTTTAGTGTATTTTGCCCTCAAATGAAAGTTTGTTGACCTTTTGACTTTTCCGGCCATAACTTCTTAACGGGAGGTCAGGGGTATATGATCATGTACACTTTTTTGTTCAGTATGACGAGACAAACAATTTGACATGTCTTTTAACATAATCAGGGCATTTAAAAAAATTGACCCCCTATTGACCCCATTTTGACCTTATTTTGACCCCTACAAGAGTTGCCGGGGGTTAGGAGAGGACTACCCAAGCTAATTTTAATCATTGACCTCCAAACAACTCAAAAACACTTAAAAACCTTTGTCCCCGAAAAATATCAGCGGGGTCTACACACTTTGACTCTACTAATAATGCTTTACTTGCAGATGGTTTACCTAGATGCATGTGCTTGCTTGCATTGAGGTCAATTCAGGTCTTACATATTGATGGGCTGTTTGAAATTAACTAGGAGGTATGCGCGTATTGGGTAATGTGGCTTGCTGCTCTACTTTTTTTAAAAAACTTCCCACGACATGTAATGAGTGTTTACTGTACATTATATGGGACGAACAGTGATAGATGGAAAGTTATTTCAGTATATTCGAAATGACTTTTAGGTAACTCCTTTTTCCTTCCACATCATCAACATTCATTCATTTCATTTCATCTACATTAGTTCATGAAATGCATTCAGAAAATGAAGAAAAAAAGAAACGAAAATAACCCGTTAAAGCGCGGAAGCTTTAACGTTTCATTAAAATATTAGACAAAGAAGACGATTCGGACGATTCGGGCTACTCTTAATCATTGTCTGAATTCTCAAAAATGTTTCTTTATCCGATAAAAAGTCACACTTCGTAGGGAAAAAAATTACCGACATAATACATCTCACCGACCTCAAACTTCTACATAAATATAGTATACCAAGATCGAGCAAGAATACCGACACAGCGGACCCGACACAGCAACAAAATTATCTATGCGTATCTTTCTTGCTCCCTCGACGTGGCGACTCCACCAAACATACCCCTCTCTCTCTCTTTCTCTTTAATCCCCTTTTCCTTTTGCTCCTTTTCTTTCTTTTTTTCTTCTTTTCCTTTCTTTCCTCTCCTTCGTCTTTGTCTTTTTTCTCTTTCTTTCTTCTCTTCTCTTTCCTTTCTTTCCTTTCTTTTCCTTTTCTTTTCTTTCCCTTTCCCTCTCCTTTTTCCCCTCCCCCTTTTCTCATTTTTCCCGTCAGCAGCGCAATTTTACCGACAATATCTTGACAGATAGGGTTGTCGCACCCCACACCCCCTTAGCGACGCCCCTGGTTGTAGAGAGTTAGATTATATACAATATTCAAGCTTTTCGTAAATATATAATATTGCACGATTTTGTTTTTCTCCTCATAAGTAAGGAAGTAAGATTTTCAAGATTTAAAGTCAAATAAGATACGATTTTGCGACTGTAAAGCATTATGCAAACGGTGGCGTCCCCTTTATTATGTCTTTTTAAAAGTAGGCCTATATTTTCTTTTAAGCTTTGATAATTATATAAAAATACATCCCCCTAATCTAGCTAATATATTTCCCCCGCTCCAGTGGTGACAAAAAAGGGAAACATAACACACACATAATCCTATCGTAATTTGTCCCCCTTGTGCGAACCCCCCCCCCCCTCCCCTCAACTGATAGTCAAACTTAAGAAAATTTACTTTGGTGACAAGACCATATATATTATAGGGAAACCACCTCAGCCCCCCCCCCCCCGAAAATAAATATTAAGGTCTGCTACCTGAATGTCCGAGTCGTCATCATAAAGGCAAAGGCGGCGGGTTTGGGGGGGGGGGGGATGGAGGGGGAGGGGAGTTGAGCTTGAGGATGTTTCATGATTCAAATGTTATTGATTTAAATTCTCAATTATGTTTATAACATTGGATAACAAATTTCAAACCTACTTAAAAACAAGAGAAATATTCAGGGCCATGTGTCGCCTTGGGGGTGTCCTCCGTCCAATATTTCCATTTGTTATGAGCATTTTGGATATTGCTTAGGCCTGTTTCATTTTATGAATAAAAACCCTCATCCCGTATTATGAATAGCGACCCTCTACTCCTATTATGAATAGCAAACCTCATTTCATATTATGAATAGTGACCCTATAATGAATAGCGACTCTCATTTCGTATTATGAATAGCAACCCTCTTCTCCTATTATGAATAGCGAACCTCATTTCGTATTATGAATAGCGACCCTCTTCTCTTATTATGAATAGTGACCCTTTTGTGAATAGCGACCCTCATTTCGTATTATGAATAGCAACCCTCTACTCCTATTACGAATAGCTTTTCTCCTTGATGAATAGCGACCCTCTTCTCCTATTATGAATAGCGACCCTCTTCTCCTATTATGAATAGCGACCCTCTTCTCCTATTATGAATAGCGACCCTATTCTCCTATTATGAATAGCGACCCTCATTTCGTATTATGAATAGCGAACCTCTTCTTCTATTATGAATAGCGAACCTCATTTCGTATTATGAATAGCGACCCTCTTTCTGTGTTATGAATACCGACCCTTGTGTAATATTATGAATAGGGACCCTTATGAATGACAACCCCAATTTCGTATTATGAATAGCGAACCTCATTTCGTATTATGAATAGCGACCCTCTTCTCCTATTATGAATAGCGAACCTCATTTCGTATTATGAATAGCGACCCTCTTCTCCTATTATGAATAGCGACCCTCTTCTCCTATTATGAATAGCGAACCTCATTTCGTATTATGAATAGCGACCCTCTTCTCCTATTATGAATAGCGACCCTTATGAATAACGACCACGATTTTGCATTATGAAAAGCGACCCTCTTCTCGTATTATGAATACCGACCCTCTTCTCTGATTATGAATAGCGGACCTTATGAATAGCGACATTGACCCGGATCGCTGATCTAAATTGATATATATATATATATATCCATGCATTCATAACTATGCAAAGCAGTGTTCGCATTGACCCAATAAAAGAAATGGTGCTTTGGTTCATACAAATACAGTACTCAAAACCAAACTACTTAAATATCACAGTATTATGATATCATTCCTACTCCACTCAAAGTGGTCCATATAGTCGTTTCTTAACACCTGCCGATTGGAACATGTCCGAAAATTTTCCGGAAAGTAAACAAAAAAATTAGTTCTCTGAAAAGCTTAACAGGCTACAATTGCTGTTCATCTTGGGTCACGTATCTTTTTCACACGTGCACTCATGGCCACCTTCGATCCGACACTATTGTGATGCTTTTCTCCTACAACAATAATACCAATCCTGGGTTCCTTATTTTGATGACAATTCCCGTAAATGTGGCTTTATACATTAACCCTGTCAGTTAAACTGTTTTGGTAGGGTACCTTAACACGAAAATAAGAGCTAACTAATTGCATTGTCATTTGACTTGCAAGTAAAGTATATCAAATTTCGCTTCGTGATCCCGTTACCCAAAACATATCGCTAAAAAAACTTTAACAATATGCTCCGAGGTAGTTCTCCTCTCTCATCTTCCTACTTGCTTTTATATCTTGAGGAAGCAATGGAAGGGGAATAAAGAAAGGAGATACACTGTTGGTCATAATGGTGGAACAATTATTTTTACCCAAATGTTTTGAATGAATTTGACAATGATTTATTCCTAATAGATCTAGATAATAGTATACATCTCAGATTTTATTGAATGACAATTGGGGAGTGTTTGTTTTGCGTGACTGCTAAAGCATGTGTGTGCTACTACGCTAATCAACTAGGGGACCTACGTCCTTAAGTCATAACTGACAGTAATGGGGATTAATACCTCATAAAAGGGCACTAATATAGCACATCGACACGGTTTTGATCCTGATGGCTCACAGTAACGAGGCCATTGCTTAGGCAATGAATCATGACTGTACGCAGCGGGCGCTAAGGCACGTCGACGCCCCCATAAAAACAAACAACAGGTTGTTAACAGGGTCACATGAAGGACCACTTTTAAATGAGCCATCCTGTACATGTATACTTATCCAAATCGATTAAAGGATATAAGAAACAAACACAGTATATGAAAAAACATAATAAATTATTAAATATGTAAAAGAGTAAATAAATGATTAATTCATAATATAACGAAATATTTCCTATTTAACTCCAGCATCAACTGACGCATCAACAACCATGGACACCACGATGAACGAATTACAGGTTAGAAACGGGTCACGTGATTTCATAGTTTAAGATTCTGTTCACACAACTAATGTAGAATGGTTGATCAAGTAGGTATTGTTAGGTAAAGAAACATAAAATGACAATTTATTGACTCAATCTTTTTTTCGAATCACTGACAATGAAAAGCTCTGCACGCAAGTACGAGTAAATAATACTCTGCATGCGGCATTAAAAATCAGGAGAGCATTTTGAAGATATGTAGGTCATGTTTGGAATATTAGGGAGGTATTTCAAGAACATTATATGACATTGGTACTATGATATTATTTCAAAAGGGAAATCAATACAACAACAAAAGTGGAAAGCGCAAAAGTAATGTTCCGCGTTCACAAAAGTCACCCTTCTCTTTATCGAACAATACCTTATTAGACTACTGCAGGTGAGACTACTGCTTATTCGGAGACGATACAAGGCGATCAGGGAACGACCAGGACAGCATCAACAACCTTGAAGACATCAAGTGAAGGAACTGTCGCTATGACCGCACCGACCAGAGCAACGCCCCCATGGCTTCAAGGTAAACCTCGTATATTTTCCTTCCCCTACAATAAAATGGGTAGATTAGTGTTATAAATATAAATTATTTTTTAGAATATGCAGTCTAATCATTGTTTTCACCGATGAAATAAGTATAGAGGTTGTTAAAGGTAATGCAAAGTTTTGGGAAATTGTGAAAATTGGGTGGATGGTGATTCTTTACAATTTTGATATATTTGGATGCCCCTGTGGATGTATTATAAGCACTAGAAAATTTAGCCCCTAAACTACTTCTGCTTTAACGAAAAATTGAATAGGAAAATTTACCGGTGCGCCCGGTAAATTTTGATAAATTTCAAATAGTGCCTACGGCCGTACAATGGTAGCTGCGACCCTGATAATTTCAGAATATGTAGTTGTGATATATAATTTCCGAACGGGAACAACTAATCGGTAGATTATAGTCAATAAACATTGTTTTATAGCTTAATAGATATCTTGACCTTGAGAAGGAGCTATACAACATAAAGAGTTTATTATTTACAATTTCACAACTTAGACTCGATTTCAACCGCGACAACGATCTCTGAATATTGTAGGACCGCATATGCGTCCAATATGTTCATTTGAACCAATTTCATGACCCCAAACCAACACTTTGTATTACCTTTAACAGCATGTGTGTGCTACTACGCTAATCAACTAGGGGACCCACGTCCTTAAGTCATAACTGACAGTAATGGGGATTAATACCTCATAAAAGGGCACTAATATAGCACATCGACACGGTTTTGATCCTGATGGCTCACAGTAACGAGGCCATTGCTTAGGCAATGAATCATGACTGTACGCAGCGGGCGCTTAGGCACGTCGACGCCCCCACAAAAAACAAACAACAGGTTGTTAACAGGGTCACATGAAGGACCACTTTTAAATGAGCCATCCTGTACATGTATACTTATCCAAATCGATTAAAGGATATAAGAAACGAACACAGTATATGAAAAAACATAATAAATTATTAAATATGTAAAAGAGTAAATAAATGATTAATTCATAATATAACGAAATATTTCCTATTTAACTCCAGCATCAACTGACGCACCAACAACCATGGACACCACGATGAACGAATTACAGGTTAGAAACGGGTCACGTGATTTCATAGTTTAAGATTCTGTTCACACAACTAATGTAGAATGGTTGATCAAGTAGGTATTATTAGGTAAGGAAACATAAAATGACAATTTATTGACTCGATCTTTTTTTCGAATCACTGACAATGACAAGCTCTGCACGCAAGTACGAGTAAATAATACTCTGCATGCGGCATTAAAATCAGGAGAGCATTTTGAAGATATGTAGGTCATGTTTGGAATATTAGGGAGGTATTTCAAGAACATTATATGACATTGGTACTACTATGACATTATTTGAAAAGGGAAATCAATACAACAACAAAAGTGGGAAAGTGCAAAAGTAATGTTCCGTGTTCACAAAAGTCACCCTTCTCTGATCTTCATCGAACAATACCTTATTAGACTACTGCAGGTGAGACTACTGCTTATTCGGAGACGATACAAGGCGATCGGGGAACGACCAGGACAGCATCAACAACCTTGAAGACATCAAGTGAAGGAACTGTCGCTATGACCGCACCGACCAGAGCAACGCCCCCATGGCTTCAAGGTAAACCTCGTATATTTTCCTTGCCCTACAATAAAATGGGTAGATTAGTATTATAAATATAAAGTATTTTTAGAATATGCAGTCTAATCATTGTTTTCACCGATGAAATTAGTATAGAGGTTGTTAAAGGTAATACAAAGTTTTGGGAAAGTGTGAAAATTAGGTGGATGGTGATTCTTTACAATTTTGATATATTTGGATGCCCCTGTGGATGTATTATAAGCACTAGACAATTTAGCCCCTAAACTACTTCTGTTTTCGAGAAAAATTGAATATAAACATTTACCGGTGCTCCCGGTAAATTTTGATAAATATCAAATAGTGCCTACGGCCGTACAATGGTAGCTGCGACTATGAAAATTTCAGAATATGTAGTTGTGATATATAATTTCCGAACGGGAACAACTAATCGGTAGATTTTAGTCAAGAAACAATGTTTTATAGCTTAATAAATATCTTGACCTTGAGAGGGAGCTATACAACATAAAGAGTTTATTATTTACAATTTCACAACTTAGACTCGATTTCAACCGCGACAACGATCTCTGAATATTGTAGGACCGCATATGCGTCCAATATGTTCATTTGAACCAATTTCATGACCCCAAACCAACACTTTGTATTACCTTTAACAGCATGTGTGTGCTACTACGCTAATCAACTAGGGGACCCACGTCCTTAAGTCATAACTGACAGTAATGGGGATTAATACCTCATAAAAGGGCACTAATATAGCACATCGACACGGTTTTGATCCTGATGGCTCACAGTAACGAGGCCATTGCTTAGGCAATGAATCATGACTGTACGCAGCGGGCGCTTAGGCACGTCGACGCCCCCACAAAAAACAAACAACAGGTTGTTAACAGGGTCACATGAAGGACCACTTTTAAATGAGCCATCCTGTACATGTATACTTATCCAAATCGATTAAAGGATATAAGAAACGAACACAGTATATGAAAAAACATAATAAATTATTAAATATGTAAAAGAGTAAATAAATGATTAATTCATAATATAACGAAATATTTCCTATTTAACTCCAGCATCAACTGACGCACCAACAACCATGGACACCACGATGAACGAATTACAGGTTAGAAACGGGTCACGTGATTTCATAGTTTAAGATTCTGTTCACACAACTAATGTAGAATGGTTGATCAAGTAGGTATTATTAGGTAAGGAAACATAAAATGACAATTTATTGACTCGATCTTTTTTTCGAATCACTGACAATGACAAGCTCTGCACGCAAGTACGAGTAAATAATACTCTGCATGCGGCATTAAAATCAGGAGAGCATTTTGAAGATATGTAGGTCATGTTTGGAATATTAGGGAGGTATTTCAAGAACATTATATGACATTGGTACTACTATGACATTATTTGAAAAGGGAAATCAATACAACAACAAAAGTGGGAAAGTGCAAAAGTAATGTTCCGTGTTCACAAAAGTCACCCTTCTCTGATCTTCATCGAACAATACCTTATTAGACTACTGCAGGTGAGACTACTGCTTATTCGGAGACGATACAAGGCGATCGGGGAACGACCAGGACAGCATCAACAACCTTGAAGACATCAAGTGAAGGAACTGTCGCTATGACCGCACCGACCAGAGCAACGCCCCCATGGCTTCAAGGTAAACCTCGTATATTTTCCTTGCCCTACAATAAAATGGGTAGATTAGTATTATAAATATAAAGTATTTTTAGAATATGCAGTCTAATCATTGTTTTCACCGATGAAATTAGTATAGAGGTTGTTAAAGGTAATACAAAGTTTTGGGAAAGTGTGAAAATTAGGTGGATGGTGATTCTTTACAATTTTGATATATTTGGATGCCCCTGTGGATGTATTATAAGCACTAGACAATTTAGCCCCTAAACTACTTCTGTTTTCGAGAAAAATTGAATATAAACATTTACCGGTGCTCCCGGTAAATTTTGATAAATATAAAATAGTGCCTACGGCCGTACAATGGTAGCTGCGACTATGAAAATTTCAGAATATGTAGTTGTGATATATAATTTCCGAACGGGAACAACTAATCGGTAGATTTTAGTCAAGAAACAATGTTTTATAGCTTAATAAATATCTTGACCTTGAGAGGGAGCTATACAACATAAAGAGTTTATTATTTACAATTTCACAACATAGACTCGATTTTAACCGCGACAACGATCACTGAATATTGTAGGACCGCATATGCGTCCAATATGTTCATTTGAACCAATTTCAGAGACAGTTTGTCTCTTCTTATTTCCCTTAACTCTTTCTTTTAAGTTGTTCTACCTTGCAATGTACCATGCATGTGTGTGTGTGTGTGTGTGGTGTATGTATGTGTGTGTTCATCGGTGTGTATCTATAATGTGTAGTATCTTAATTATATATTGTTATTGTTGTAGTAACGTATACAAACATGTAATCACGTTATTTATTATTTATGTCAGGGAACTATTATACTTACAAGTTTTTCAAATTTCCTTTTTAGTCTCCAATTTCTTAATTCCAGAATTGTAAGATTATGATGTTTTCATGTTACTTTTGTATATATATATATATATATATATATATTATGTTATGGTTTTATGATTGAAATAAATGAACTGAACTGAACTGAACATGCAAGACCAGTTTTACATGAGCCATCCTGTACATGTATAATTTTCCAAATCGATTAAATAATATAAGAAATGCATATAGTATATGAACAACTTAATAGATGATTGAATGTGTAAAAGAGTTTATTAATGAATAATTAATTAAATAAATATTTAAGTATTTCCTATTTAACCCCATCATCAACTGAAGCATCAACAAACATGGACACCACGATGAACGAATTACAGGTTAGAAACGGGTCACGTGATTGCGTAGTTTAATATACTGTCCTCCAGTAATATGGAATGGTTGATCAAATAGACATTGTTTAACAAAAGTGAAAACGGTTCTAGGACACTAAGCCCTGGACATCAACCCCGAATAACCACCCCAGTCGACTACCCCCTAGGACAACTACCCCCTAGGGCAACCACCCTCTAGGACGACTACCTCCCCGGGCAACTGCCCTCTACGACAACAATCCTCTAGGACGCCTACCCCAAGGACAACTATCCTAGGGGGAAGTTGTCCGGGGTAATTGTCTGGGGGTAGTTGTCCTAGGGGATAGCTGTCCCGGGGGTAGCCGGCGTAGAGGGGGGGGGGGTTGCCTTAGGGGTTAGTTGTCATAGTAGGTAGTTGACTGGGGTGGTTATCCGGGGGGGGGGGGATGTCCAGGGAGTAGGTGTCCGGATACGATTGAAAACATCAAATGACAATTGATTGACACAATCTTTTTCTAACCACTGACATTGAAAAGCTCTGCACACAAGTACGAGTAAAAAATACTATGCATGCTGCATTAAAATCAGGAGAATATTTTGAAGATATTTTTAGACATGTTTGGAATAATAGGGAGGTATTTCAAGAAGTCAAAAAAGTCACCCCGTCTCTTTATGGAACAATACCTTATTAGACTACTGCAGGTGAGACTACTGCTTATTTGGAGACGACACGAGGCGGTCAGGTAACGACCGGGACAGCATCAACAACCTTGAAGACATCAAGTGAAGGAACTGTCGCTGTGACCGCACCGACCAGAACAACGCCCCCATGGCTTCAAGGTAAACCTCGTATATTATCGTTCCCCACAATAAAATGTATGGATTAGTGAAAGCGCAAATTAAAGAGAAGACACATGCCTGTTTGGCCTAATAGTTCATCAATTACTGCTTCTGAAGAAATGGCTGAACATCCTGCCTATACCCTCCAACAGACCACTTCAGAGACAGTACTTGTACAAAAGAACCTACATATGCAAATATATATACACATGTGTGGGATGGTGACTATGACGAAATGTGAATTCCATGATTATATTATCTGATATATAATTAATATTAAATTTGGAAAAACACAAATCTGGACAATCAATTTCCTTCTTCAACTGAGAAAACACTTCACCTAAAATCACTCTTCTCTTTTATATAAAGAGGTTACTATTGTGACTCAGAAATGGATCCACACGAAAATTATGCCTAACTGTTTATGTAATAAATCGAACAAGTAGTTTCCTTTATTAGAATTTAACATAAACATCCACTAGACATTAAAGAAGTGCCTGGGTAATCACTGACGATCATCAAACATTGATAACTGCTATTAAGGGCAAGTATAAATGAGACTAAAATTAGTAATTATGGTTTATGTTTACTACTAGTCTCGAAATATTAGGTTTCATGCTCAATACAAGTAATAAGACAGAGTCATAAATATTATTCACACACAAATATTAGGAGCAGCCAAGAAAATTAATTCTCAAATCGAAGCTAGACCCATAGCGTTTGGATTTAGGCCCGGATTTAGGCACGAAATATTGTGGTTCAAATCCCACGAGTCAAATCTCTACTTGTACTGAGTGTTTATTACCATGGTTACAACGTGAGAAAATACCGTATATTTATATTTTATAAACATGTGAAATATGCTCTACAATTTGCGTATACTGATTATCAACAACAGGCACCCAAAGTTATCAAACGATCACAATGGAATGATTAAAATGCATAAATCACTTATGATATAATTAACGTTACGTGAGTTGGATCCAAAATGTAGACCTAGACTAGCTAGTTCTACCACCTCGGGGACTATATCAGCTGTACACACAAAACTTCTCACGGGCTGAAATTAATGTGAAGATTCATAAAAGTCAGTCGATGATGACGAGTCTATTCAGCGACATTCGCAATGAAGACAACAGTGGTGGTCGTTGATCGCGAAGACAAAGAAGACGATTATTGACATAGACTTGGTCGCAATCGAAGACGATGTCGATCAAAAGTTAATGCTGCGTAGCTGAAGATTAGTTACAGATGGTATCATGGTGCAATTAAAACAACTCCAAAGAAATAAATTTGTCCGTAGAACAGTTTGTCATAGACTGCACTGCAGTATGCCATAGTCATGTAGGAGTTGATTATTGTAGATAAAATTCAATCTCCAATATAGGCAAATGGAGAAATAACGAGACGAAAGTCTGAAGAAAGCTCGGCACAGAAAATAAAACAAAGTATGAGTAATAGCCACGGGAAGCCTGTTGCTATATAGTTCATGCCGTAGAGTTAGGGAAGAGAACGGCGAAGCCCCCGTATCCGTATCAACTAATACACGCACTCTCTACGTATAAGGATACACAACATATCCATTCACTCTTAGTTCTATTGCCTTCTTTTTCGACCTTTCATCAATTAAAAATCGCCCACTGAGGAAGGTCCGTGATTGGTCCTACTTACGCGTATACCTGCAAACATCTATGCTAATTAGTAACATGATCATTTAACTTATGAATAAACATCATTAATATCGGTCGCTACACATGTAAGGAGAAGTCTAACTTTGTGCGTAGTATAATATTCTCTGCCCAAGTGGTGAAGGTTCTTTTTTTAATACATTTTGTTTTACCTCATGAAAAGAATACTGCCGCTTGCTTATCAGTGACTGCACCCTCGTTGATGATACATGACCTTTAAAGGGATCGGTTAACAATGTTAAATCTGAGATGCATGGCCCTACGTGGTATCAGTGTCTGTGATATGGTGTAGATAATATTGAAGCCCTAACAAAATTGCGCTTCAAAATGATCAAGAAGTGTTTCAAAAAAGTTTTGAGTGACCGGTTTAATATTCGTTTTCCCCGATATACTGTAGTGTTATGGAAACCGTTAGGAAAACGTAAAATTTGGTTCCAATTTCCACAAATATCTTGATGATCAGACAGGCGATCGGCTTGTAAATGTCACGGGGTTCCTGACTGACCTAAAGGTTTATAATTATCATTGCAGCATGAGCTAAATCCAGGATTTTGTTTCATATTCTGAGACAAAGTTACCGGTATCCCTTTAATCTGCACATGTGCAGATAGTATTTCTGAATGGTCTCATCCTGTCATTTGATGGCTATATACCGAAACATATTATGTACACACAAAGTATTTTTGAGCAATATGTTGCGAATTTGAAAATGAAATAGAATCGCTTTATAACTGATAGTCAGAGTATCAAGTCTTTTCGAAGTTAGCCGTATTTTATTCAAATCTATACCTCTATAGGAATAAGATAATATTTATCATGATGGCTACTGCTACATCGTACTTGAGTCATATCATTTATTGATCTTCTTTCTATGAACCTACAGGTCTGCTGCGTGTTTTAGCGGATATGAACGAGACAGAAACCGTAGTTTTTGCAATTTCGACGACCATAACGGTGTATTTCACATTTCTCATGCTTGCTCTCCTTCTTCGCTGCATCGCCCGTGGGAATAAAGGATTACACAAAAAAGAGGTAAGTGAAACAGCTAATGACTTGATTTAACACCTTAATCGATAGGCATGGACAGCTAAACAGTATTGTTTTTCCTGATTCATGTCGATTTTGTCTCTGCCAAACTTTGAATAAAAGAATTAAAAAAGTGAATACAAACTTTGGTTGAATGGTTTCTATATGAATAGAAAGTACTCACACATACATCTTATTAATCAACTTCTGAACATCGTTCATTCACACTTAGGTAAAGACGATCAAACATGATTGCAACTACTTTCGAAATATTAACTTAAGGGAAGTTCTATAGCTCCCTCTATCACCGTTTGAAACATTCGAACATTACAATGACGTTTTACATATACAGATCGTCATGATTTCTGTTGCATAAATAATATAATGTTGAAATGTATCTTGAGTTGATTTGTCGAATGTAGTTGCAATCATGTATTTATCATGGGTTGTTAGTGCTCGGTCATCAATAAACACACTCTGATGAGCAGCCTATCAAATTATACAAGAATATCCCCACTAACACACAACAAATTCATCGTACAACTACCCCTTAACGGTATCGTTTCGGGATAGTTATACGATGCAATTGCGTGTGTGGACGCTTACTAACGATACATCGTATAACGAAACGTGGGTTTGGGCACCGTTTCGAACAAGAACCCAATGAAGAATCATGCGTAATCACGGAGTGTGTTGTGTGTGGACGTAACTAGTCTAGCCGAACTAGAACGGTATGACTGGGCGAGGCATAACGTGACCTCGCGCGAAAGGAGACCTGACCTCTCATTTCATGACCGGAGTAGCAAACTGCGCACCTATACGACATTTCGTAGTCTAGTTCTGGACCCTATATGATTTTTGTTATTCGCCTACTATAAACGTTAAGCCGAGTGATGGCGCGATCCTTATTGACTGCCATATCCCCACTATTCATTCATCATTCCTCCCCATGACGTAGAAAGGCAGTTGAGATATATTAACGTGAGAAAAGCACCTGGTCCAAATGGGATTCCTTCCTGGATTCTCAGAGATTTCTCCCCTATTCTAGCGGAGCCGGTTTGCTCCATTTTCAACGCTTCCATTGCCCAAGGTTTTGTACCGTCTATTTGGAAATCTGCAGATATAATTGCCTTACCCAAGACAAACCCCCCTGTTTCAATTGAGAGCGATCTGAGACCGATCTCCCTAACACCAGTGTTAGCAAAAATATTAGAAAGTTATGTGTGTAAATGGGTTTGGAATGATTATCTCCCCCATGTTGATCCAAACCAGTATGGGAACATACCAGGGTCCTCAACTGTACTTGCCTTGATCAATCTCCTTAACAATTGGTCATTTGAAACAGATGCTAAGAGAAAGGCTGTGAGGATTGTGTTGGTAGATTACAAGAAAGCTTTTGATAGGATAAATCACGATTTACTTCTTAGAAAGTTGGGAAATTTGCAGGTGAATCCTACACTTGTTAACTGGATAAGAGCGTTCCTCTATCAAAGAAAGCAAAGAGTTAAAATCGATCAAATAAGATCTGAGTGGCTGACAGTTAATGGGGGTGTCCCACAATGGACTAAAATGGGACCACTGTTGTTTATAATTATGATAACGGATTTGGGTTGTAATCTTCCCGTTGTCAAATATGTTGATGACACAACATTGTATGAGGTATGTCCATATGGTGAAAATGGCACGATTCAGAATACCCTCAATGAACTTGCACACTGGTCTGACTTGAATGATATGCAGATAAATCCAATGAAGACCAAGGAAATGGTTGTTTGCTTCATGAAAGACGATCCAAACTTACCATATCTTACCATCGGTGGAAATCAAGTAGAGAGGGTTCAGGAAGTTAAACTACTCGGTTTGTACCTCAATAACAAACTTAACTGGGATACCCACGTGAAAGAAACCTACACTAAAGCAGCAAAACGCTTGTACCTTCTTGTTCAATTACGAAGGGCAGGTTTAAATCAGATTGATATGTGCAGATACTATGTGGCAAGCATTAGATCGGTGTTAGAGTATGCTTGCCAAGTATTTCATGGAGGTCTGACCAAAGAACAATCCGAAATGTTAGAGTCCATCCAAAAAAGGGCAGTTAGAATTATTTCACCTGGACTGTCATACTCTGACGCCCTTGTCTTTCTTAACCTCCAATCCCTTTCTGAACGTAGACAAAAACTATGCCTTAATTTGTTTACCCAAATTCGTAACCCCAGTCACATGCTAAACCATCTTCTTCCTGCTCCAAGAGAAACAAGATACTCTCTTCGGAACAGCAAAGACCTGTACCCTCCCAAATGCAAAACTAATAGATACAAAAATAGCTTCATACCCTGGTGTCTGTTTAATCTACAATGATCTTGCCAAATTTAATGTATTTTTATTGTCCTTTTTATTGAGTATATTCTCGTTAATTAAATGTAATAATTTTAATAAGAAGACATCAATCCTATTTTACATATTTGTGATTATCATACGATTTTATTACCGTTTTATTAGTGTCTTCAAACTTTGTACAGGGTATTAAATTTAATTAATAATCATTATTGTCAATTTTATATTGAATTAAAGTACCGTTTAGACATTTTACTTAAATTACACACTTGTTCATTATATGAATTTTAAAATAATTGAGAATGTAACAAATTTGATATCAATTGAATTTGTCTGGATTAATTTTTACAAATAATGCATTATACCACCACTCAATTTGGGTTTACTGTCTTTTTTTTTTTTTCCTTCAAGATATTCCTCAATTGTAACTGTTCTGAACAATATGTTGATGTCAGTTGATATATGATTATTGGTCCTTATATTTATGTTTAAATCTTATTTTACATATCTGTTATTATTATACGACACCGGTTTATTAGTACCAAACTTGGGGGTACTTGTATTCAAGCTTTGTACATGGTATTACATTTAATTAATAATCATTATTGCCAATTTTATATTGAATTGAGGTGCCGTGTAGATGTTTTACTTAAAATTGCACACTTGTTTATTATATGTATTTTATAATAATTTAGAATGTAACAAATTTAATACCAATTGAATTTGACTGGATATATATATATATATATTTTTTACGGATAATGCATTATACCACCACTCAATTTGGGTTAACTGTCTCTCTCTTTCTTTCAAAATCTTTCTCAATTTTAATTGTTGGACAATACGTTGATGTCAGTTGATATATGATTATTGGTCCGTTGAAGTCCTATGTACCTTTTAATTATGTTTAAATGCGTTTGCTCTTGAGTGTTTTTTTTTCTTCTTTTCATATCTATGTATTTAAAGTGTCAATTTATACAGTTTTATTGTACAAAGTATATATACATATAACTATATTGTGAACCATTTATATGCCTGCCTTTTTTACTGTATGAAATCCAACTTATGGTTGCAATAAATGAATGATTTAAATAAAAAAAAAAAAAAAAAAATTCTCGCGCAGTTAGTGGGGATATGGAGGTCAATAAGGATCGCGCCATCACTCAGCTTAACGTTTATAGTAGGCGAATAACAAAATTCATATAGGGTCCAGAACTAGTCTAGACATTTCGCTGTAGAGTTTCTGGATTACTTTCTTGTGTGCGTATGGACACCCTTGAATTTATACGATGATTCTTTATACGACGTTTCTTTATAGAGTTTCGGGATAACAAAAATTGTGTGTGGACACGCTGTATATTATCAAATGTAATACTGTTATCATATATTTCAGCGATTTCACTTGGTTTTTGTAAGATAAAGGGGTTTGAATATTAGTATTCTTTTTATTGTCTCAAGCCTGTCTTGACAAAGGAAATTCTCTCTCTCTCTCTCCCTCCCTCTCTCCCTCTCTTCCTCTCTCTCTCTCTCTTCATCTCTCCCCTACCTCGCTATTAAAGGTGGAACTAGACCAAAAACGCCCCCACCGGATGTATGAGCTAGTCAGAATCCCTTCATGATGACTGCAGTATCGCACCAACGATGACAAAACCAAATTACGTCTAATTTTTACTTTGCATTCATTGCCAGTTTTACATGAATGAAAGACAAAGCTAAACGTGGAAGACGATTTTTCTCGCGAATTTGCCCCTTGCAATTCGATGAAACCTCGAGATGGAATATGTACAATATGTTAAATAAAATGTCTTTTTGAGGATAACTAATTGAAAGCATTTGTCTCTTCTTTTTTTATTAGTATGGAGTACAGGGGCGGATCGGGGGGGGGGGGGGGTTGGCACAGAGGGCCCCCGCCCTTGTCCAACAATTAAAAAAAAAAGATGGTAACGACAATTTTAACTTTAAAAAGAAAAAGAGAACCCTCCCCCCCCCCCGGCCAAAAAAATTAATGGCTTCCACAATTTTACCTTTTTGTTTTTTGACCAAGGGCGGCGCTGGGGGGGGGGGGGGCGTTGAGTAAAAAAAATAGTGTTCATTCCCCCCTCCCCCCTCCCTCGTTGCGCAAAAATCATAAAGAGATTCGGGAGAGAATACAAAACAGACCGTTGCGGATAATTTTTCGAAGGGAATATAATGACTATACAAATACACTTGAATAATCTGAACTCCAAACATTAGAAAAAAGACGCCAAAATGTATGTGTGACGTCTTTCAAAAACATTACCACTCACTGTTCAGTTTAATCAATTTCTTCCACACAAAAAATTGACTAGAACATTTCGAAATTCAAAGAAAATTCTGGATTTTAGATATAAAACAATTCGCATGCCATATTGTCGTATTTTAAACGTAATTCGCCTGTATAATAAAAGTTACTTTGCTCGTGTTTATAACCATTGAAATAATTTATCGTTTTAATGTCTTGATTAATGATTTTCTTTATTGTACCAATATGTTTTGATGATATTTGTTTGTTATTTACTTTTAAATTTGTATAATTATTTCAAATACCACTACACTTTATAGCTTATGCTAAGTGTTCCAATGTTTCATAAATAGTGCGACCTTACTTATGAATGAGCGTTTGTTTGATGGTAGTAAAAGTTGCTGGTTGTGGATCATTGGATGACCCCCTTGTGAAAGATAACACTTCTAGTGTCAAGATATATGTTACTCTTTATTATAAAAAAAGTGATATAGTTTTGTTCTAATTCTAGATCAAACAGTCTACTACCAACATTACAAAATTACGTCTAATTTTTACTTTGCATTAATTACCAGTTTTATATGAGTGAAAGACAATGCTAAATGGGGAGAGTTATTTTTCTTGCGAATTTCCCCCTTGCAATTCGATGAAACCTCGAGATGGAATATGTACAGTATGTTAAGTAAATGTCAGTTTTGAGGTAACTAATTGAAAGCATATGTCTCTTCTTTTTTATGAGTGTGGAGTAAAGATGGTAACGAAAATTTTAACTTTAAAACGAAAAAGAGAAGACGCCCCCCCCCCCTGGCCAAAAGAGTAAATGGCTACCACAATTTTACCTTTTTGTTTTTTGACCAGGGGCCGCGCGGAGGGGGGAGGGGGGGGGGGAGCAGCGTTGAGTAAAACAAATAGTGCTCATTTCCCCCTCCCCCCTCCCTCGTTGAGCAAAATCAAAAAGAGATTCGGGAGAGAATACAAAACAGAGTGTTGCAGATCATTTTTCGTAGGGAATATAATGACTATACAAATGCACTTGAATAATCTGAACTCCAAACATTAGAAAAAAGACGCCAAAATGTAAGTGTGACGTCTTTAAAAAAACATTACCGCTCACTGTTCAGTTAAAGCAATTTCTCCCACAAAAACAGTGGACTCGAACACTTAGAAATTCAAAGAAAATTCTGGATTTTAGATATAAAACAATTCGCATGCCATATTGTCGTATTTTAAACGTGATTCGCATGTATAATAAAAGTTACTTTGTTCGTGTTTATAACCATAGATATAATTTATCGTTTTAATGTCTTGATTAATGATTTTATTTATTGTACCAATATGTTTTGATGATATCTGTTTGTTATTTACTTTTAAATTTGTATAATTATTTCAAATACCACTAAATTTCCATCGCTCAAGCCTTGAATGAATTGTATCTATCTCTCTTACCAATCATTTCACGTTCCTTATCTCCTTTTCAATTGTTTATACCACTGCTCTTTGGAAGCGCATAGAGACGTTACAATAGGATATGCTCTATACAGGAACAGAATATTATTTGTACGATTGCTCTATTGAAGCATGAAGAACTGTTATATAATCTTTCTTAAAGGTAATACAAAGTTTTGGGGAATTTTGAAAATTGGGTGGATAGTGATTCTTTACAATTTTGATATATTTGAATGCCCCTGTGGATGTATTATAAGCACTAGAAAATTTAGCCCCTAAAACACATCTGCTTTCGAGAAAAATTGAATATAAAAATTTACCGGTGCTCCCGGTAAATTTTGGTAAATTTCAAATAGCGCATACGGCCGTACAATGGTAGCTGCGACCATGAAAATCTCAGAATATGTAGTTGTGATATATAATTTCCAAACGGGAATAGCTAATCGGTCGATTTTAGTCAAGAAATATTGCTTTATGGCTTAATTAATATCTTGACCTTGAGAGGGAGCTATACATCATAAAGACTTTATTATTTACAATTTCATAACTTTAGACTCGATTTCAACCGCGACGACGATCAATGAATATTGTAGGATCGCATTTGCCTCCAATATGCTCCTTTGAATCAGATTCATGACCCCATACCAAAACTTTGTATTACCTTTAAATCAATAGTAACAAGACACGTTTTAATGATTTTTAACTAAATGTTTTGTACATTGTTACAATGCGTATATTTCCAATGTGTGTAATTCATGCGCAATTCATGCGCAATTCAGTTGTAAAACTGCCATTCATGAAAGCTGCAATAAAATACCATTTATCTATCTTTTATCTATCTATATACGTAATGAATATTACATTTCACAGCAAAGAATCGAGAGCTGAATACGAGAAGAGAGATAATGCAGTTCACACACAATAAAAAAAAATTAAACAAAACAGACGGCAGACAATCTAAACTGTATAAGAAAATCATAAATGAAGTAGAAATTTACAGAATAGACTATTGCTAAGTGGTAAACATTGTATAACTATATAGCGCATAATAATCATCGAAGACAATCCTCTATGCGCTTTACATTATTATATTCTTACAATTTACATTATCACATAAAAATTACATATTAGGCCTACATTATTTCATACAAGTTATAGATAATTGCATTATGACATACAAATTAAATTACATCAAATGATATTTCCCTATAACAAATAATAATTACTTTGAAAATAGATAGGTTTTGACAGCAGTCTTAAACATTGCAAGTGAGTTAATCTTTCTTATCATTTCTTAACGTAGAGAATTCCAGAGTTCAAGAGCGGAGACTGAAGAGGCTCTATTGCCCTATGTCTGTGTGTTAGTAGGTGTAAAGCAGGGCTCCCACTTAGCCGAGTTGGAGCTTCGAGTTGTGGCGAGCTGGCGCGATCTTATGGCAAGCAGTTTTATCATTAAAACACATTTCTTGATATCAAGAATTAAATTCTTGATATTACGAAATCGAATACCTGATATCACGAAATCGAATTCTTGATATCAAGAATTACCATTGCTTTACAACATAAAATTATTTCTTGATAACAAGAATTTATTTATTGATATCAATTAATAATAAAACGGCTTGCTATAAGATCGCGCCAGCTCGCCACAACTCGAGGGTCCTAATTCGGCTAAGTGGGAGCCCTGCTTAACAGAAAGAATATATTGTGAAGGTTTCCTGATGAACAAGTTCCGATATGTAGTATGGAGAGGGGTAATTCTGAGCTTTAAAACAGAAATTGAATATAAAGTATACACTTTATAGCTTATGCTAAGCGTTCCAATGTTTCATAAATAGTGCGACCTTACTTATGAATGAGCGTTTGTTTGATGGTAGTAAAAATTGCTGGTTGTGGATCATTGGATGACCCCCTTGTGAAAGATAACACTTCTAGTGTCAAGATATATGTTACTCTTTATTATAAAAAAGTGATATAGTTTTGTTCTAATTCTAGATCAAACAGTCTACTACCAACATTGCCATATATTCCATAGAGCTTCGATTGCGTTTAAATGCGAACAGTTCAACATTTATGTAAGATTCATATTTTGGGCGGATAGATGTAAAAGTAGTCGAAGTCAGAATAAATTCAATAATGGATTATTCTAGTAAAGTCTGCAAACGGCAACAAGATTAATTACAGAAAGAAATTCATTGAATATTGACATTATTAATTTGATAACTAAAAGCCATGAACGCGATCGCAAGGACTTTCAAGAATCAGCATTACTTGAGGAAATATGCTAACATGACCATAACGAATCAAGCAATCCAAGCGTGATTTATCAAGGTAATGACTTGAAATATTGAAACGAGATTGCCTCAAGTTGTTAATTTCTTGAAAATCTTTGCGATCGTTTATCGAACTGATGCAAGAAAGTAGATTACTGCCGTTAATATTTTTGGTTCTACCTTCTAATATAAAACTTAACCCAACTAAATGCATTGCCATGACGGTCTATTTTATGAAAAATCAAACTCACAAACTGTTGTATATAGATGAGACACTTTTAAATGAAGAAAATGTAATCAAAGTTCTTGGAGTTTATATTCAATGTGATTTAAAATGGGATACCCAAGTAAAGGAAATGTTAAAGAACTGCAATAGAAAGTTATATATGTTACGTACCTTGAAACGTTTTAATTTACCTATTAGTGATCTTGTTATTGTTTATACTGGATACATAAACCAATATTAGGGTATCGTGCACCACTTTTTCAATCCAACCTAACGCATAAACAAAAAGATAATATTGAACGAATACAAAAACGGGCATTTATAATTATTTTGGGACTTCATTATGAAACGTATAATCATGCTCTAGAATTGTGCAATTTGTTAACGTTGGAAGAACGTAAGAACAAACTTTGTTTTGATTTCGAAAAGCATGAATTGTGTTCTTTATGGCTACCAAGTCAAAGAATTGTTAAATTTAATTTACGAAATGTACAGAAATATTCTCAATTTATTTGTAAAACCAACCGCTTTAATAATAGCTCTATTCCCTATTTTGTTCGTATCTTAAACGATTATTATTCAAAAAAGTAAGCTTCATGTATTTTTGTATATGTTTATGTTTAATGATGTTGCCTATTATGTGTATAAATGTATTTAGTATATTTTATCCTTTTATATGTAATTAATTTTATTTTATTTTAACATGTATAATGCTCAGTGTATTTTAAATATCATGATGTTTTTACCTTGTATAAATGACCTGCAATTCAGCTTCGGCTGCCAGAACGTCATATGAATAAACCCTTATTGAATTGAATGACTCTGTTTTTGCCTTGTTATCAATCAACCAACAAGCAAAATATACTGTACAGTTATTATCGTCAAGGGCATATTAATGTGCTTAGCTCCCCCCCCCCCCCCGACATCCCCAATTAAAAAAAAAAAAAAACCTTCAAAATAAGATCTATTGACTAGTTGCGCACAACGTTCCGGTGAAACCAGCTTGAAGACACACACATTGGAGAGGCATGGGGCTCCATTCTCACACGGGAGCGGACCACCGCAACCTCCAACTGGTGGCTTGGACACATCAGTATGTATTAAAAAAATAAAATAAATAAACTTAAGTCGCATGAAGTGGTCATATATAAATTCAATTCCATAATAATCAGGGTGCAATTAAGATCTGACAATGAATGTGTATTAAATAAGTAGATATAATCAATAGGAAGCTAGTAGTTGGGATAAAAGGAATTATGTTGATGGTGGTATAACAGGGAAAGATGATGGAGAGAGAAAGAAGATATAATACAAATCTAATACTCCTAAATCTTTTGCGTAATTGACTACATGCCCCTTCGGATATCTAGAAGGACGCAGATAATTCATATTGCAGGGGATGTTACACTAGCGAGTGGCTTCCACGAAACGTTCACAGTTCACTATTGTGAGGGGCACATTTAAAACTATAGCCCAAGGTGATCTCAAAACTGTAATGCAGGCTTGTGGTCACCGAGGAGCTATAGTTTTAACATGACCCGAAAATTAAGCAGTCAACATTTGTTTTACATACCGCATTCCGTTTGTGGATTCTTAAAAAGGCAAATGAAACCCATTAAGTAAAAACCCCGTTCAAAATGTATTTTGAAATGTCTATTGAGGAAAAGCTCGCTTTCGTTGTTAACTTCATGCCCATCTTGTGCGTCCTTGCATCTGTCGCCTGCCTATTGAGATTGAATTACGCAAAAGCGATATCGGTAGATATCGAGCATGCGCTATCAATTTTTTATTGGAGATGTTTTGAACGGTGGGAAAAATTAAATGCCAGCCCACTTGATGTCAATTGACCAATCGGATTTCTCAGCTTCTAGAACCCATCTTATAATAGTGAATGTCATACATGTGGTTGTGACCAATCAGATGATTGGTATCTTTATATCCGTTATATAATATCATTTACATTTACTTTTAATGAATTATTAAAGCTCCTCAGATGGATGGTCGGATCATTTCTAAGACAGCCTAGTCTATACGCCTCACTGCTTGTTTTATGGTGTTTACTATTTTATAATTTTGAGTGTTTGTATTGCCGGCCGGCCTCAGCCCTCAGCAATGGAACAAAACGCAACTATTTTGCTTCTGGTCCTTGTATCAATCTGTTGGACTGGAGGGCATTGTGGTAAGTAACAAATAGGGTAAAGTTTACTACCAAACATTTGTCTAAATGTAAACTCTAAATCATCAAGTTCTAATATAAGTGTTGAAAGACCCCTTTTCTCCGTACCTCTTTATTTTAGCGATAGAAACTCTGGCAATAAATATAAGAATAAACCAAAATATCCTGGACTTAAAGTCAAACGATATTGACGTACAAAACCTAGCAATTCAAATAAATATAAAGTTTGATAATGTTTTGACAATTCTCGGAAACGATATCTCCTACTCTTTTGAAGATAGAATGGCACAACTCCAAAGAATGTTATCGAATCTCAACTGAACTTATGGAAAGCCAGGAATCTGTCACTATATGGAAAAATTCAAATAGTTAAAACTGTTGTTATTTCCCAGCTGTTATATGTAGCCAGCATTGTGTCCATTCCCGATCCATTTATTCATAGGTTAACACGGTACTATACGAATTCGTATGGGGCGGCCCAGAAAGAATAAAACGTGAAGCCTTCGTAAAGTAGTACAATGAGGAATGTTTAAAGATGACTTGTATTAAATCTATTCCTCAAGCTCAGAAAATTAAATGGGTTACAAAAGTATTCACGTCAAATTCTATAGGTTGGAAAAACATATGCTCAGAACTATTTTCACCCGTTGGAGGAGAATATATTTTTAATGTAATTTTGATATGAAATATTTAAACATTAGAGTGTCAAAAGGGTTCAGGGACATTTTTTAAATAGAAAAATCGATATTGCTAACTGATGTTTTTGGAATAACAAAACCATTATATTAAATGGAAAATCTATATTTAAACCAGAAATAAAAGAAAAGGGTTTTGTAAAAGTTGCGGATATGAATTTGGACGTCCACTGCGATGGAAAGACTGTAAAAAAAGGACTTAAATTCACTGGGTATTTTGTATTGTTAGACTGTTATTAAAAAAAAACAGGAGAATGGAAGCATTTCTTTTTGCAGCACTATCACCATCTTGTTAAAGATCTAAAAGATTTTCCTAGTGTTTTCTGTGATTCCGAATTCAAACAAATCCATAACATAATGACGAAGCAACTTTATCTAACTTTTCTAAGACTTAATAACCAGAAATTTTTAAAGTATTTACTCGTTTCAATGAGCTGTATGAATGAGCAACAAGTGCCAAATCTTTTCACTCGGCCAGCAAATGTTACAATTGACTCCAGACTCCGAATTACGCACTTTAAAATTTTGAATAACCTAATATCAACTAATGAATAACCTAATACCAACTAACGAATGACAGGCACATATAGAAAGAAAAAATAGCCCACTGTGCTCTTTTTGCAATGCGACACCCGAGACAATGGATCATTTATTTTCACATGTCCTAAGATTGCAGCCTTTTGGAATGCGCTAAGCGGAAGAGCGGCGGATTTTAATCCCGATTATTTTCTTACAGGCAAAATCATTTTATTTGGAATTACGCCACCTCAGCTTTTAATTGTCTTACTTTACTTGGTAAAAAGTTCATTTTACGTTGTAAATACCAAGAGGGTATGCCTAGTTTGAAACAATTTAATAATTATATTTTGTCTTATAAATCCACTGAAGAAAATATTGCATAAAGTAAAAAAAAAAAATTTGAATAGCATATGGCAAAGTGGTAAAACATGTACCGCGTTGCGTAATGATAAATGTTATATTATGTGCAAAACGTTTCAAGGGATAGATTTGTTTTGTTTTTGTTACATTTCTTTTGTTTTGTTCATGTTGTGGTGTATTTGATGTACTATATGTTCTATTATGTAATAGAAAGGTTTAGATTATATCATGCGTTATGCCCCGGCGGTACAGCAGGGCCGACTACCGGCGGGGGCGGGAGGTGCTATACATGTTCTTTACTCTCTAAGTCTCTCTCTTTCCATTTTGTGTCGGTCTGATGGTCGTATGAGATTGAGATTAGCAGTGTACAGCTAGAGTAAATAACAAAGGATGTACATCTAACATTGAAGTAACTATCGGAGCACCATTTTCCCTCATCTGAAAAATGTTACTAAGTCCAATTCAAAGTTAAATGCTCTACTTTGCACAACGGTAGAATATTTGATGGTACGCTAAACACGCTATAAATGTATAGCATTTTATAGAAATCCCCTTTTGGGGAGTCGTTTTAGGGATCTCTATTACTCGGTGCTCTATTGGAAGGTTGTTATTCATACCTCAGCTGCCTTGACCAGATTTAACATGGTTTTAGAAAAACAATTGAATGATGACCTCACAGTCCCAGAGTAGGCTCCCTTGGCACGATCCGTACATTGTCTTATCTATTATAGAAAAATGATAAAAATAGTCATTTAAAACGTTATTATCATCGCAAGTATAGAATGAGAGAATCAGTAGAATATTTGATGGTACGCTAAACACGCTATAAATGTATAGCATTTTATAGAAATCCCCTTTTGGGGAGTCGTTTTAGGGATCTCTTACTAGTACGCCGAATTACAGAAGGGATGCTTTTATAAAACCTTGACCCGAGTAACAAATATACCAATTATCCCCACCAAGCAGATGTGCAAGAGGATAAACTCGATATTACTCGGTGCTCTATTGGAAGGTTGTTATTCATACCTCAGCTGCCTTGACCAGATTTAACATGGTTTTAGAAAAAACAATTGAATGATGACCTCACAGTCCGAGAGTAGGCTCCCTTGGCACGACCCGTACATTATCTTATCTATTATAGACAAATGGTGAAAAATAGTAATTTAAAACATTATTGTCATCACAAGTATAGAATGAGAGAATCAAAACAAAAACTATTAAACTCGGACTTGTTTTGATTGGGTTTTACTCCCCTTGATGCCATCTACACTGGACTGCATCCTAGTATCCGCATCCGTGTTTAAATGTAGATGTCACGGGTAAAATGGGTGGACCAAATTGTTATTCAGAATAGAACATCTGTCGACTTTTCATGTTTATAAGAACCTCTTTTGATTTTTTTCTTAAAGATAATACAAAGTTTGGGGAATTTTTGAAAATTGGGTGGATAGTGATTCTATACAATTTTGATATATTTAGATGCCCCTGTGGATGTATTTTAAGCAATAGAAAATTTAGCCCCTAAAACGCTTCTGCTTTTGAGAACAATTGAATACCAGTTCTCCCGGTAATTTTGATAAATTTCAAATAGCGTTGTAATAATAGCTCCCTCTCAAGGTCAATATATTAATAAAGCTATAAAACAATGTTTCTTGACTAAAATCGACCGATTAGCTATTCCCGCTTGGAAATTATATACCACAACTACATATTCTGAGATTTTCAGGGTCGCAACTACCATTGTACGGACGTAGGCGCTATTTGAAATTTATCAAAATCTATCGGGAGCACCGGTAAATTTTTATATTAAATTTTTTCGCGAAAGCAGAAGTGTTTTAGGGCTGAATCTACTAGTGCTTATAATACATCCACAGGAGCATCCAAATATATCAAAATTGTAAAGAATGGCTATCCACCGAGTTTTCAAAATGTCTCAAAACTTTGAATTACCTTTAAGCAAAACTGTTTTGGTAGGGTACCTTAAAAGGATTTAAGAGCTAACTGCATTGTCATTTTACTTGCAAGTAAAGTATATCAAATATCGCTTTTTGGTCCAGATATCCAAAATCATATCCCTTAACGAAAAGAGCATTAACAAATATGCTCCGAGTTAATTCTCCTCTCGCGTCTTCCTACTTTCTCTTATATCTTCTTCGTTGTTAATGTTATTGTTGCTGTTGGTGTGTTTATTGTGTATTTTACACTATTTGTTATTGTTCATCATTAATATATACATTTCGTTGTTAATAAATTTATTCCTACAGCAACGACCAAACCCACGACAAACCCAACAACACTGATACCTGTACAATCGGAACCTGTGACATCTCAACCCACTGTTGGTAAAAACAAAATTGTTTGATAGTTGTTGTTGTTTTCGTTTTTGTAGTTGTTCTTTTCCTTGTTCTTGATCTTTTGGGGATTTTTTCGTAAAAGGACAGATCTATGAGTAAGTGTTAAGTACTTAAGATGATAGTCGTGCTCTCATTTTCACGTTTATATATTTGTCGGTTACACCATGTTGCCTGTAGAAACTTGAAGACGTTATGAACGCAATAGCTATTTAACCTCAAAGACTAAATTAACGACAAGACAAATATGTGTTGTTTACTACCGAGGCAATGGATTAGGCATATCGTTTTCTTTTAAATAAAGATAGCAATCGAAGAGATAATAAAAGCAACAAACAATACCAACAGCAGTTAAAGAATATGAATATACAAGTCATGTACGTAGATGAGAACAAAAGAGGGGGGGGGGGGCTGATTATGATCAAATAGTGGACGAGCCAACCGAGGCCAACAAATTGCCAAATGATATCCTTGTTTATGGATGAAACATTCATCTAAACCAATGAAAGGGGAATAAAAAAGAGATACATTTTGAATATTTTCACCAGTAGGATAATTGAAAGGTAATGCAATTGGCAGTAGGCCTAGACTGTTTATGAAACAGATATCACTCGAAGACATCATTTATACAAGAAGTGTCAGAGTCAGAAATGTGGTGCTTTAGTGATTTCAACACTTGGCAGTTGATGTATAGGTTTGAGATTCGAGTCTCGGTCCTGCACGGATATACATGTAGTGTATTTCTGGTTCATATTTTGACACAGGATTTTTTTTTGTAAAGATGGGAGCATTGGATGCTAACAGGGAATAAGTTGAAGCAGTTTAAAGTTGTTCCTTTTGCTTTTTCATGCAAAATAGTAATTGTGTCACTTTTGTAATTAATGATGTGTAAACTTATTTCCAGACATCGATATTTCTTTGCACTGCAAACCTTTTTTTGTTCAAAGAAATGTCTTCATAATTTGTAGACATATCGCTCCGGTTGTCTCATTTTCGCTCGCTGGAACATTGCCAGCACAAACCACTGACCTCTACCTCCTGGACGGATCAGCGCCCATTCCTATTCACTATATGTTACGTATTAAAAGGCTGTATTGTCTGATCGTTCATGAATATCCATGTTTTTGCTTACCTCGGTAAAATGTTTTCTTTTACTAAATGGAAAAATTACAGTGGGGGGTTGGACGAAATGGACTAAATGAACCAAGCAGAAGTGATCTATGATAATTCATGCTTCTTATCCTTCGTGTGCTTGACCTAAAATCTTAAAATCGCTTGGCAAACTGAGTCAAAAGTTCGACTTGTTTCACATGTGTATTCTAGGCAATGACGAGCTTGCAACCTATTTTGAACAAATTACGATGGGTGAACTTTCAAAAGTCAGTGGGACATGCGGGTTCCAATGAAAGAGCTAGTCTTAACGAACGTCGGGGTTGATGTGCTTTTCGTTTAAAAAAAAAAAAAAAAAAAAGATTTTTTAACGATTTTTTTTTTTTTTTTTTTTGGGGGGGGGGGGGGGTAAAATTCCATAGGCTTACATGTTAGGCTGCTGACTCTGACGATAGGGGGCGTTGTGAAATGAGACTAATTGGAGCCATATGCATACAATTAAAATACCAATGAGTGATGTCCAGTAACTTTATTGCGTTAAAAGACCATGCAGCTCCTGCCATTATGTATTATTTTTATATACATGACTGTTGTAAGAACAAATTAATCTAATTCATTTAAACCAAGTTTCTTTCTTTGAAAATAAGGTCCTATTCAGGATGCTAGCCCTCTAGGATTAGAAAGTGGGGCAATCCCAGATTCGAGCTTGACAGCTTCTAGTGAGTATGACGCCAACCACGGTTCGCGCCGAGGACGATTAAACATAGCTCAAGTCGGAGCCCTGTTCGGAGGATGGTCTGCCAAAACAAAAGATTTGAACCAGTGGATTCAGGTCAGACTCTATTTCTAATTTTTTCTTCTTTGAAGTCTCACTTCATAAAGCTTCTCAAGATCATAAAGGGTATCTCTCCGTCACAACACGAAACCTGTCTTACCTTGTTACTCGCTCAACCAAGAGATCACAAGAACAAATATTCCTTCAAATATTAATTCCTTCCGAAAACACCGACAGACTTGAAATCTGTTCAACTATCTATATCTAACATTCAATCCCGACGTAATCAGGGCTCATGATCTACAGCATTTTCAATTAAACATGTATTAATTTAGTATCTTATGCACACTCCTAGTCCAAGCGCTGACACGTATGACTACAGGTACATATTCACGAATCGACATAAATACTTCCGATCAAGCATGCTAGAATAAGCTATCCCGCAATTGAACCACGTTACCAATCACGTAACCTTTAGTTTCTTGAAGAACTTCCTTTAGAAAATGGATACAGTTTTAAAGATACTATGTCCCTTTTGCAGCCAACATCAAATTCTGTAGAACTTTGCAGGAACTATGAATATGTCATGTATGTCCTATCTGTAAAATTTAAACGTTTAATAGCAATGTTCTAATATTCAAGTTATGCAAGGAAACCCATTTATTTGCTAGACTTCACTGTCAGACACCATTGAGTGACTGACTGGCCTTTTTCATCTATGGTAATAACATACAAAATGAGCTGTAAAGGGTACATGAGCATTTGTCTACATCGGTAACCCACTTCTTGTAATGGCCAAAATTAAACTGATTGAATCTTTGCGCAGCATAAAACGTACGACCATTCGGTAAAAGGGTCTGAAAAATCAGACTATTACTTACTGGCTCTATAGCTTCTAAGTCGATTCGACAACTACAAGTCGTTATTTTCCCACTAAAAGACATTTTCAAGCCCCCTTATTTTTAGGGAAGTTTTATTATTGTCTTTCAAATGCTGTTGGAATTTAACCTTTTTGTTTCTTGGGCCTGCAAATGGGACATAGTACCTTTAATAAAATAAACCAAAAATATCTCAATGTGCCAAAAACTCCCCCCCCCCCCATCCCTTACAGAAAAACAAGAAGAAAAAAGGAATACAAACAAGATTTAAATGCCGAAAATCCAAAAACTAACTTTTAGAGCAGCCGACAGAATAAAATGAGGCTATTTCCAAATTATTGTTAACTTGTAGCTATTTCTAAATATTTTTTCTAGGAATTGACGAGGTAACTCATGTAGGGTTAGATGTTTTTTTTTCTCTCTCTGCCTCTTAGAGGTGTTTATTCAATATTCAAACAGTAACATAATTTTGCTTACAATTTAGCAAATCAATGGAACGTCAATAATACACAAGTTATTTATTCAAATATAACTAAGCAAATTCGCAGGAAATTTCATATTTTGTACTTTCAAATGTTCGTTTATTTCTATTCTGTTTGTCATTTCTCTCTTAAATAAGTAAATCAAACTCAAATCTTTATTATCATAACCATACTTATTACAAAAAAAAATAATCATTTTATAAATAGACCAAAAACCAATTGTCATTATTAAATCGATTTCGGTTTGCAAATTCATTATGAGTAATAAAAAAATATCTATCTCTATTCTAAGATTGAAATCACGTAAAACTATTAAAGTCCTTTACATATTCAAAGAAAGTTTCATTTGCCTTACAAGAAATGAAAGCATGAAGCACATCTTCAGTCTTTTTGCATTTTAAACAAAGGTCATTGTTTGAGAGACCCCACTTGAACAGATTTTTACGAACTGGTAACATATTATATAAAAGCTTGAAATTAAATTAACGTAGACGAAAATCTTTTATCCCAATCAGATTCCTATTAAAAACAGAGGACCATTTAACGTCCTTCTGCAAGACATCTTCCCAATACAAACAACATTTATTCATTTTAATTTGTTCAAAACTTATCATATTATACCACTGTTTACTACTCAAAAGACTAACAGGCTAAACTGATTTTCCAAATAGAAAGTGGGGGATAGGGAAATTATGGTCATTGCAAACCAAAGGTACCCTATGCTTATCATTTATCCAAATGTTTGGAATTTATTTTTGTTGCTTTGTATAGTCAAAAATCAAAAATTGTTTACTTCTTCTAGTTTTAAGGCGGATAAATAATTCATTTACTGAAAAAAGTACAATTTTTAAAGATTTCATTGAAGTATATAATACCACTTTTATACCAGTCTTCATAAAATAACATTTTTTGTTCAAAAGCAATATCTTGATTATACCATAAAATATTTTCGTCGACATGTTTCTGTGTCTGACATTCAAATGATGTGTATTTTTTTTATGAGGTACCATAATTTAGGGTTAGATATAGATGTCCTGTTAATACACAAAATTGATATATATATATATATATATACATGTAAATCAAATTAAAATAAAATATATGTTATCTTCAACGTCATTATCATTCAAATCTCAGGTTGATCTTTTAGATACGTACAGCATCGTAGGAGTGGCAACGCAAGGTCGTCAGGACCAGTTCCAGTGGGTATCCACCTTCAAGATTGCCTGCAGTATGAACAGTATTACCTTTGATACAGTGAAAGACCCCGTTAACACCGACAACGACAACGTACGTACCGATTTACTCATCCTTCGACCCTAATCAGTAATCAATTGGTTGATTACGATAACCGGTCACATGTGATTCGTTTATTGAGCGTTTCTCAATTCCTTTATTTGTTCATGATGTTTTTCATAGCACTGATCTCTCTCTCTCTCTTTGAAATTACACTTTATTATATTCTCAATTGATTGATCTTGCGTGTTTCCCCCAGATCTTTGCCGGCAATAGTGACCGAAACACCGTGGTTTACAATCGCTTTCCCGTGCCAATGTCGTGTCGATATGTTCGCCTTTTACCTTACACTTGGCAGCAACGTATTTCTCTTCGTATGGAGCTCTTTGGGAGACGCCTTGGTGAGTTTAAGGTTTAAACTAAGTCTCATTCATTCAAACAAAGAAAGGGTAAAATGTGATGTAATGTATATATATTAGATGAGCTAGTTTATCAGGGTGACGGCCCCGGGCGCTTGGCCGCAGAAACACCTCGGAAGTATTCGAGGGAGGGGGGGGGGGGTGGAGTTTACAGAGTAAAGGCTATAACTGCTCAGGTTATGAAATGCTTTAGAATGAACAACTTTATTAACTTTTTTCATTAAATTATTGGAAATATTTACAAATGAATGGATATAAAAATCCCAAAACAGAAGAAACAAGAAGAAAAAAAAACTTTTCATTAGCGCTACAGTTGTGTCAGTAGAATTAAGCACAACATTTTAGCCAGGGAAAGACATACTACCTGCAGTTTTCTCTTTTATTATTTACGAAATATCATCGAAATTTGCTGACATACAAATAAAATGCCAATGAGTGAGGTCCAGTAGCTTTATTGAGTTGGAAGACTATGCAGCTCCGGCCAATATGTATTATTTAAACGTACATGAATTTTGTTGGGATAGATGAATCTATATAATTTAAGCCAAGTTTCTTTCTTTGGAAAAAAGGCCCTATCCAGGATGGTAGCCCTCTAGGCCTAGAAAGTGGGGCAATCCCAGATTCGAGCCTGACAGCTTTTAGTGAGTACAACGCCAACCACGGTCCGCGTCGAGCGCGGTTAAACATGGCTAAAGTCGGAGCCCTGACTGGAGGATGGTCTGCCAAAACAAACGATTTGAACCAGTGGATTCAGGTTAGTCTATATTCCTGAATTTCTTTCTTGTTTGTTTGAAGTTTCACTACATAAAGCTTCTCAAGCTCATAAAGGGTATCTCTCCGTCACAACACGAAACCTGTCTCACCTTGTTACTCAATCAACCAAGAGATCACAAGAACAAATATTCCTTTAAATATTAATTCCTTCTGAAAATACTGACAGACTGGAAATCTGTTCAACGATCTATATCTAACATTTAATCCCGACGTATATAGGGCTCATGACCAACAGCATTTTCAATTATACATGTATTAATTAAGTATTTAATGCACACACCCAGTCCGAGAGCTGAGCCGTATTACTACAAGTACATGTTCAAAAATAGACATAAATACTTCAGATCAAGCGTTCAAGAATAAGCTATCCTGCAACTGAACCACGTAACCAATCAACATCTACATTCTATTGAAGAAATTAATTTAGATATAGGGCACAGTTTTAACTGAATAAACAAAAAATATCAACAAATTCCGAAAAATATCCCCACCCCCTTCCCCCTACCAAAAAAGAGGAAAAAAGGAAGAAGACCAAGATCCGAATGCCAAAAATCAAAAAACAAATCGCTAAGTTTAACTATTATTATTTTTCACAAGGAATTGAGAAAGGAACTCCGTAGAGTTAAATATAAATGTCACGTTAATACAACAAGTTTGTACATATATGTGTATATACAAAAATCGTTTTTACTATTTCCATTTACAATATAATTATCATTCAAATCTCAGGTTGATCTTTTAGCTACGTACAGCATCGTAAGAGTGGCAACACAAGGTCGTGAGGATTATTCCCAGTGGGTAACCAGCTTCAAGATTGCCTGCAGTATGGATAGTGTTACCTTTGATACAGTTAAAGACCCCACTAACTCCGACAACGACAATGTAGGTACCGATTTACTCATCCTTCGACCATAATCAGTTAATTGGTCGATTACCAGTCAAGTGTGATTCGTTTATTGAGCGTTTCTTAATTCCTTTTTTTTCACGATATTCATCTTAGCATTTATCTCTCTTTTTGAATTTACACGTTGTTCTTTTTGCGTGTTTTCCTCAGATCTTTCCCGGCAATAGTGATCGAAACACCGTGGTTTACAATCGCTTTCCCGTGCCAATGTCGTGTCGATATGTTCGCCTTTTACCTTACACATGGCATGAACATATTTCCCTTCGTATGGAGTTCTTTGGAGAACTCCTTGGTGAGTTTGTAGATGAGCTAGGAGGATGACACCCCGGGCTATTGCCCGCGGAACGCACCTTGATTTTTTTTTTTTTTTTTTTTTTTTTTTGGGGGGGGGGGGGGGGGGGTGGGCGTTGAGTTGACAGCTAACAGATAAATATTTCAACTGCTCAGGTTATGAAATGTTTTAAAACGAAATACATTATAAACCTTTTTTATTCAATAATTAGGAATATTTATATATGAGAAGAAGAAACAATTTCAGAACAGTGACATTTCGAGACAAATATGAAGAAAAAGAAAAATAATTATTTAAAGGCAACTTTTTATCAGCTCTACAGTCATGTCAGTACATTTAAGCACAACATTTTAGCCAGGGAAAGACATACTACCTGCAGTTTTCTCTTTTATTATTTACGAAATATCATCGAAATTTGCTGACATACAAATAAAATGCCAATGAGTGAGGTCCAGTAGCTTTATTGAGTTGGAAGACTATGCAGCTCCGGCCAATATGTATTATTTAAACGTACATGAATTTTGTTGGGATAGATGAATCTATATAATTTAAGTCAAGTTTCTTTCTTTGGAAAAAAGGCCCTATCCAGGATGGTAGCCCTCTAGGCCTAGAAAGTGGGGCAATCCCAGATTCGAGCCTGACAGCTTTTAGTGAGTACAACGCCAACCACGGTCCGCGTCGAGCGCGGTTAAACATGGCTAAAGTCGGAGCCCTGACTGGAGGATGGTCTGCCAAAACAAACGATTTGAACCAGTGGATTCAGGTTAGTCTATATTCCTGAATTTCTTTCTTGTTTGTTTGAAGTTTCACTACATAAAGCTTCTCAAGCTCATACAGGGTATCTCTCCGTCACAACACGAAACCTGTCTCACCTTGTTACTCAATCAACCAAGAGATCACAAGAACAAATATTCCTTTAAATATTAATTCCTTCTGAAAATACTGACAGACTGGAAATCTGTTCAACGATCTATATTTAACATTTAATCCCGACGTATATAAGGCTCATGACCAACAGCATTTTCAATTATACATGTATTAATTAAGTATTTAATGCACACACCGTGTCCGAGAGCTGAGCCGTATTACTACAAGTACATGTTCAAAAATAGACATAAATACTTCAGATCAAGCGTTCAAGAATAAGCTATCCTGCAACTGAACCACGTAACCAATCAACATCTACATTCTATTGAAGAAATTAATTTAGATATAGGGCACAGTTTTAACTGAATAAACAAAAAATATCAACAAATTCCGAAAAATACCCCCACCCCCTTCCCCCTACCAAAAAAAGAGGAAAAAAGGAAGAAGACCAAGATCCGAATGCCAAAAATCAAAAAACAAATCGCTAAGTTTAACTATTATTATTTTTCACAAGGAATTGAGAAAGGAACTCCGTAGAGTTAATATAAATGTCACGTTAATACAACAAGTTTGTACATATATGTGTATATACAAAAATCGTTTTTACTATTTCCATTTACAATATAATTATCATTCAAATCTCAGGTTGATCTTTTAGCTACGTACAGCATCGTAAGAGTGGCAACACAAGGTCGTGAGGATTATTCCCAGTGGGTAACCAGCTTCAAGATTGCCTGCAGTATGGATAGCGTTACCTTTGATACAGTTAAAGACCCCACTAACTCCGACAACGACAATGTAGGTACCAATTTACTCATCCTTCGACCATAATCAGTTAATTGGTCGATTACCAGTCAAGTGTGATTCGTTTATTGAGCGTTTCTTAATTCCTTTTTTTTCACGATATTCATCTTAGCATTTATCTCTCTTTTTGAATTTACACGTTGTTCTTTTTGCGTGTTTTCCTCAGATCTTTCCCGGCAATAGTGATCGAAACACCGTGGTTTACAATCGCTTTCCCGTGCCAATGTCGTGTCGATATGTTCGCCTTTTACCTTACACATGGCATGAACATATTTCCCTTCGTATGGAGTTCTTTGGAGAACTCCTTGGTGAGTTTGAAGATGAGCTAGGAGGATGACACCCCGGGCTATTGCCCGCGGAACGCACCTTGATTTTTTTTTTTTTTTTTTTTTTTTTTTTTGGGGGGGGGGGGGGGTGGGCGTTGAGTTGACAGCTAACAGATAAATATTTCAACTGCTCAGGTTATGAAATGTTTTAAAACGAAATACATTATAAACCTTTTTCATTCAATAATTAGGAATATTTATATATGAGAAGAAGAAACAATTTCAGAACAGTGACATTTCGAGACAAATATGAAGAAAAAGAAAAAGAATTATTTAAAGGCAACTTTTTATCAGCTCTACAGTCATGTCAGTACATTTAAGCACAACATTTTAGCCAGGGAAAGACATACTACCTGCAGTTTTCTCTTTTATTATTTACGAAATATCATCGAAATTTGCTGACATACAAATAAAATGCCAATGAGTGAGGTCCAGTAGCTTTATTGAGTTGGAAGACTATGCAGCTCCGGCCAATATGTATTATTTAAACGTACATGAATTTTGTTGGGATAGATGAATCTATATAATTTAAGTCAAGTTTCTTTCTTTGGAAAAAAGGCCCTATCCAGGATGGTAGCCCTCTAGGCCTAGAAAGTGGGGCAATCCCAGATTCGAGCCTGACAGCTTTTAGTGAGTACAACGCCAACCACGGTCCGCGTCGAGCGCGGTTAAACATGGCTAAAGTCGGAGCCCTGACTGGAGGATGGTCTGCCAAAACAAACGATTTGAACCAGTGGATTCAGGTTAGTCTATATTCCTGAATTTCTTTCTTGTTTGTTTGAAGTTTCACTACATAAAGCTTCTCAAGCTCATAAAGGGTATCTCTCCGTCACAACACGAAACCTGTCTCACCTTGTTACTCAATCAACCAAGAGATCACAAGAACAAATATTCCTTTAAATATTAATTCCTTCTGAAAATACTGACAGACTGGAAATCTGTTCAACGATCTATATTTAACATTTAATCCCGACGTATATAAGGCTCATGACCAACAGCATTTTCAATTATACATGTATTAATTAAGTATTTAATGCACACACCGTGTCCGAGAGCTGAGCCGTATTACTACAAGTACATGTTCAAAAATAGACATAAATACTTCAGATCAAGCGTTCAAGAATAAGCTATCCTGCAACTGAACCACGTAACCAATCAACATCTACATTCTATTGAAGAAATTAATTTAGATATAGGGCACAGTTTTAACTGAATAAACAAAAAATATCAACAAATTCCGAAAAATACCCCCACCCCCTTCCCCCTACCAAAAAAAGAGGAAAAAAGGAAGAAGACCAAGATCCGAATGCCAAAAATCAAAAAACAAATCGCTAAGTTTAACTATTATTATTTTTCACAAGGAATTGAGAAAGGAACTCCGTAGAGTTAAATATAAATGTCACGTTAATACAACAAGTTTGTACATATATGTGTATATACAAAAATCGTTTTTACTATTTCCATTTACAATATAATTATCATTCAAATCTCAGGTTGATCTTTTAGCTACGTACAGCATCGTAAGAGTGGCAACACAAGGTCGTGAGGATTATTCCCAGTGGGTAACCAGCTTCAAGATTGCCTGCAGTATGGATAGTGTTACCTTTGATACAGTTAAAGACCCCACTAACTCCGACAACGACAATGTAGGTACCGATTTACTCATCCTTCGACCATAATCAGTTAATTGGTCGATTACCAGTCAAGTGTGATTCGTTTATTGAGCGTTTCATAATTCCTTTTTTTTCATGATATTCATCTTAGCATTTATCTCTCTTTTTGAATTTACACGTTGTTCTTTTTGCGTGTTTTCCTCAGATTTTTCCCGGCAATAGTGATCGAAACACCGTGGTTTACAATCGCTTTCCCGTGCCAATGTCGTGTCGATATGTTCGCCTTTTACCTTACACATGGCATGAACATATTTCCCTTCGTATGGAGTTCTTTGGAGAACTCCTTGGTGAGTTTGTAGATGAGCTAGGAGGATGACACCCCGGGCTATTGCCCGCGGAACGCACCTTGATTTTTTTTTTTGGGGGGGGGGGGGGCGTTGAGTTGACAGTTAACAGATAAATATTTCAACTGCTCAGGTTATGAAATGTTTTAAAACGAAACACATTATAAACCTTTTTCATTCAATAATTAGGAATATTTATATATGAGAAGAAGAAACAATTTCAGAACAGTGACATTTCGAGACAAATATGAAGAAAAAGAAAAATAATTATTTAAAGGCAACTTTTTATCAGCTCTACAGTCATGTCAGTACATTTAAGCACAACATTTTAGCCAGGGAAAGACATACTACCTGCAGTTTTCTCTTTTATTATTTACGAAATATCATCGAAATTTGCTGACATACAAATAAAATGCCAATGAGTGAGGTCCAGTAGCTTTATTGAGTTGGAAGACTATGCAGCTCCGGCCAATATGTATTATTTAAACGTACATGAATTTTGTTGGGATAGATGAATCTATATAATTTAAGCCAAGTTTCTTTCTTTGGAAAAAAGGCCCTATCCAGGATGGTAGCCCTCTAGGCCTAGAAAGTGGGGCAATCCCAGATTCGAGCCTGACAGCTTTTAGTGAGTACAACGCCAACCACGGTCCGCGTCGAGCGCGGTTAAACATGGCTAAAGTCGGAGCCCTGACTGGAGGATGGTCTGCCAAAACAAACGATTTGAACCAGTGGATTCAGGTTAGTCTATATTCCTGAATTTCTTTCTTGTTTGTTTGAAGTTTCACTTCATAAAGCTTCTCAAGCTCATAAAGGGTATCTCTCCGTCACAACACGAAACCTGTCTCACCTTGTTACTCAATCAACCAAGAGATCACAAGAACAAATATTCCTTTACATATTAATTCCTTCTGAAAATACTGACAGACTGGAAATCTGTTCAACGATCTATATCTAACATTTAATCCCGACGTATATAGGGCTCATGACCAACAGCATTTTCAATTATACATGTATTAATTAAGTATTTAATGCACACACCCAGTCCGAGAGCTGAGCCGTATTACTACAAGTACAGTGTACATGTTCAAAAATAGACATAAATACTTCAGATCAAGCGTTCAAGAATAAGCTATCCTGCAACTGAACCACGTAACCAATCAACATCTACATTCTATTGAAGAAATTAATTTAGATATAGGGCACAGTTTTAACTGAATAAACACAAAATATCAACAAATTCCGAAAAATACCCCAACCCCTTCCCCCTACCAAAAAAAAAGAGGAAAAAAGGAAGAAGACCAAGATCCGAATGCCAAAGATCAAAAAACAAATCGCTAAGTTTAACTATTATTATTTTTCACAAGGAATTGAGAAAGGAACTCCGTAGAGTTAAATATAAATGTCACGTTAATACAACAAGTTTGTACATATATGTGTATATACAAAAATCGTTTTTACTATTTCCATTTACAATATAATTATCATTCAAATCTCAGGTTGATCTTTTAGCTACGTACAGCATCGTAAGAGTGGCAACACAAGGTCGTGAGGATTATTCCCAGTGGGTAACGAGCTTCAAGATTGCCTGCAGTATGGATAGTGTTACCTTTGATACAGTTAAAGACCCCACTAACACCGACAACGACAATGTAGGTACCGATTTACTCATCCTTCGACCATAATCAGTTAATTGGTCGATTACCAGTCAAGTGTGATTCGTTTATTGAGCGTTTCTTAATTCCTTTTTTTTCATGATATTCATCTTAGCATTTATCTCTCTTTTTGAATTTACACGTTGTTCTTTTTGCGTGTTTTCCTCAGATTTTTCCCGGCAATAGTGATCGAAACACCGTGGTTTACAATCGCTTTCCCGTGCCAATGTCGTGTCGATATGTTCGCCTTTTACCTAACACATGGCATGAACATATTTCCCTTCGTATGGAGTTCTTTGGAGAACTTCTTGGTGAGTTTGTAGATGAGCTAGGAGGATGACACCCCGGGCTATTGCCCGCGGAACGCACCTTGATTTTTTTTTTTTTTTTTTTTTTTTTGGTGGGGGGGGGGGGGGGGTGGGCGTTGAGTTGACAGCTAACAGATAAATATTTCAACTGCTCAGGTTATGAAATGTTTTAAAACGAAATACATTATAAACCTTTTTCATTCAATAATTAGGAATATTTATATATGAGAAGAAGAAACAATTTCAGAACAGTGACATTTCGAGACAAATATGAAGAAAAAGAAAAAGAATTATTTAAAGGCAACTTTTTATCAGCTCTACAGTCATGTCAGTACATTTAAGCACAACATTTTAGCCAGGGAAAGACATACTACCTGCAGTTTTCTCTTTTATTATTTACGAAATATCATCGAAATTTGCTGACATACAAATAAAATGCCAATGAGTGAGGTCCAGTAGCTTTATTGAGTTGGAAGACTATGCAGCTCCGGCCAATATGTATTATTTAAACGTACATGAATTTTGTTGGGATAGATGAATCTATATAATTTAAGTCAAGTTTCTTTCTTTGGAAAAAAGGCCCTATCCAGGATGGTAGCCCTCTAGGCCTAGAAAGTGGGGCAATCCCAGATTCGAGCCTGACAGCTTTTAGTGAGTACAACGCCAACCACGGTCCGCGTCGAGCGCGGTTAAACATGGCTAAAGTCGGAGCCCTGACTGGAGGATGGTCTGCCAAAACAAACGATTTGAACCAGTGGATTCAGGTTAGTCTATATTCCTGAATTTCTTTCTTGTTTGTTTGAAGTTTCACTACATAAAGCTTCTCAAGCTCATAAAGGGTATCTCTCCGTCACAACACGAAACCTGTCTCACCTTGTTACTCAATCAACCAAGAGATCACAAGAACAAATATTCCTTTAAATATTAATTCCTTCTGAAAATACTGACAGACTGGAAATCTGTTCAACGATCTATATCTAACATTTAATCCCGACGTATATAGGGCTCATGACCAACAGCATTTTCAATTATACATGTATTAATTAAGTATTTAATGCACACACCCAGTCCGAGAGCTGAGCCGTATTACTACAAGTACATGTTCAAAAATAGACATAAATACTTCAGATCAAGCGTTCAAGAATAAGCTATCCTGCAACTGAACCACGTAACCAATCAACATCTACATTCTATTGAAGAAATTAATTTAGATATAGGGCACAGTTTTAACTGAATAAACAAAAAATATCAACAAATTCCAAAAAATACCCCAACCCCTTCCCCCTACCAAAAAAAAAGAGGAAAAAAGGAAGAAGACCAAGATCCGAATGCCAAAAATCAAAAAACAAATCGCTAAGTTTAACTATTATTATTTTTCACAAGGAATTGAGAAAGGAACTCCGTAGAGTTAAATATAAATGTCACGTTAATACAACAAGTTTGTACATATATGTGTATATACAAAAATCGTTTTTACTATTTCCATTTACAATATAATTATCATTCAAATCTCAGGTTGATCTTTTAGCTACGTACAGCATCGTAAGAGTGGCAACACAAGGTCGTGAGGATTATTCCCAGTGGGTAACGAGCTTCAAGATTGCCTGCAGTATGGATAGTGTTACCTTTGATACAGTTAAAGACCCCACTAACACCGACAACGACAATGTAGGTACCGATTTACTCATCCTTCGACCATAATCAGTTAATTGGTCGATTACCAGTCAAGTGTGATTCGTTTATTGAGCGTTTCTTAATTCCTTTTTTTTCATGATATTCATCTTAGCATTTATCTCTCTTTTTGAATTTACACGTTGTTCTTTTTGCGTGTTTTCCTCAGATTTTTCCCGGCAATAGTGATCGAAACACCGTGGTTTACAATCGCTTTCCCGTGCCAATGTCGTGTCGATATGTTCGCCTTTTACCTAACACATGGCATGAACATATTTCCCTTCGTATGGAGTTCTTTGGAGAACTTCTTGGTGAGTTTGTAGATGAGCTAGGAGGATGACACCCCGGGCTATTGCCCGCGGAACGCACCTTGATTTTTTTTTTTTTTTTTTTTTTTTTTTGGGGGGGGGGGGGGGTGGGCGTTGAGTTGACAGCTAACAGATAAATATTTCAACTGCTCAGGTTATGAAATGTTTTAAAACGAAATACATTATAAACCTTTTTCATTCAATAATTAGGAATATTTATATATGAGAAGAAGAAACAATTTCAGAACAGTGACATTTCGAGACAAATATGAAGAAAAAGAAAAAGAATTATTTAAAGGCAACTTTTTATCAGCTCTACAGTCATGTCAGTACATTTAAGCACAACATTTTAGCCAGGGAAAGACATACTACCTGCAGTTTTCTCTTTTATTATTTACGAAATATCATCGAAATTTGCTGACATACAAATAAAATGCCAATGAGTGAGGTCCAGTAGCTTTATTGAGTTGGAAGACTATGCAGCTCCGGCCAATATGTATTATTTAAACGTACATGAATTTTGTTGGGATAGATGAATCTATATAATTTAAGTCAAGTTTCTTTCTTTGGAAAAAAGGCCCTATCCAGGATGGTAGCCCTCTAGGCCTAGAAAGTGGGGCAATCCCAGATTCGAGCCTGACAGCTTTTAGTGAGTACAACGCCAACCACGGTCCGCGTCGAGCGCGGTTAAACATGGCTAAAGTCGGAGCCCTGACTGGAGGATGGTCTGCCAAAACAAACGATTTGAACCAGTGGATTCAGGTTAGTCTATATTCCTGAATTTCTTTCTTGTTTGTTTGAAGTTTCACTACATAAAGCTTCTCAAGCTCATAAAGGGTATCTCTCCGTCACAACACGAAACCTGTCTCACCTTGTTACTCAATCAACCAAGAGATCACAAGAACAAATATTCCTTTAAATATTAATTCCTTCTGAAAATACTGACAGACTGGAAATCTGTTCAACGATCTATATCTAACATTTAATCCCGACGTATATAGGGCTCATGACCAACAGCATTTTCAATTATACATGTATTAATTAAGTATTTAATGCACACACCCAGTCCGAGAGCTGAGCCGTATTACTACAAGTACATGTTCAAAAATAGACATAAATACTTCAGATCAAGCGTTCAAGAATAAGCTATCCTGCAACTGAACCACGTAACCAATCAACATCTACATTCTATTGAAGAAATTAATTTAGATATAGGGCACAGTTTTAACTGAATAAACAAAAAATATCAACAAATTCCGAAAAATATCCCCACCCCCTTCCCCTTACCAAAAAAAGAGGAAAAAAGGAAGAAGACCAAGATCCGAATGCCAAAAATCAAAAAACAAATCGCTAAGTTTAACTATTATTATTTTTCACAAGGAATTGAGAAAGGAACTCCGTAGAGTTAAATATAAATGTCACGTTAATACAACAAGTTTGTACATATATGTGTATATACAAAAATCGTTTTTACTATTTCCATTTACAATATAATTATCATTCAAATCTCAGGTTGATCTTTTAGCTACGTACAGCATCGTAAGAGTGGCAACACAAGGTCGTGAGGATTATTCCCAGTGGGTAACCAGCTTCAAGATTGCCTGCAGTATGGATAGTGTTACCTTTGATACAGTTAAAGACCCCACTAACACCGACAACGACAATGTAGGTACCGATTTACTCATCCTTCGACCATAATCAGTTAATTGGTCGATTACCAGTCAAGTGTGATTCGTTTATTGAGCGTTTCTTAATTCCTTTTTTTTCACGATATTCATCTTAGCATTTATCTCTCTTTTTGAATTTACACGTTGTTCTTTTTTCGTGTTTTCCTCAGATCTTTCCCGGCAATAGTGATCGAAACACCGTGGTTTACAATCGCTTTCCCGTGCCAATGTCGTGTCGATATGTTCGCCTTTTACCTTACACATGGCATGAACATATTTCCCTTCGTATGGAGTTCTTTGGAGAACTCCTTGGTGAGTTTGTAGATGAGCTAGGAGGATGACACCCCGGGCTATTGCCCGCGGAACGCACCTTGATTTTTTTTTTTTTTTTTTTTTTGGGGGGGGGGGGGGGGGGGGGGTGGGCGTTGAGTTGACAGCTAACAGATAAATATTTCAACTGCTCAGGTTATGAAATGTTTTAAAACGAAATACATTATAAACCTTTTTCATTCAATAATTAGGAATATTTATATATGAGAAGAAGAAACAATTTCAGAACAGTGACATTTCGAGACAAGTTCAAGTTCAAGTTCACTTTATTCAATACTTTCATTAAAAATATACAAGGAAAAACAAACATATAAAAGTTAGAATATAATACATGTATCAATATATAACGTGAGGATAACACAAGTGGAGAAGACATGATGGACAAGTGAAAAACATTTTAAACATGTACATTAATGAAAGTATTTGGAGACTAGACAGGAAGGCTGGGCCTTATATAAAAGTCTGTCTCCAGTAATTGTATAAAAAACTAAGTACATTATTTAAATTTTGTATTTGTTATAAAAAGTAAGTAAAAAATGGGAAAAAAAAAAATTGCATTCACACATACACTCTCTCCCAAACACACAAACACACACTTTTCTGTCTGATGAACATTAAGAATATAGGTTATTGCACTATTGAGTATTGTCTTAACAAGTACAGTTTAAATTTTCTTTTAAAACTATTTAGTGATGGACTCAGTCGAATATCTATGGGTATGTCATTCCAAATTTTTGGACCCCTGAAAAAAATTGTATTTTGGGAAACTAGTGTCCTTACTCCTGGAATATGAAAATTATTTAAAATCCTGGTCTGGTGGCCATGAATATTCTTATTAAGTTGAAAATATTGTAAAATAGTATTTGGTAAAAGTTTTTTAAAGCATAGATACATAAAAATTGCACATTGATAAACATAAATATCGTTTACTTTTAAAAACTTTAGGTTGTAAAAAAGAGGTAAAGTATGAGCAAGGTATTGGCTGTGCGATATAATTCTTATAATTTTCTTTTGTAAAACTAAAAGCCTATTTGTATTTTGCATACTAGAGCATGCCCATACAAGAATACAATAATTTAAGTGGGGTAATATTAATGTATTATACAAAATTATCAATATTTCTTTAGGTAAAAATTTCAATTTATAAAATATACCAACATGTTTAGCCAATCTATTGCAGACGACACCAGTGTGTTCCTTCCAATTTAATTTATCGTCTATTGTGACTCCTAAAAAAGTTAAAAGCGTAACGTGTTCAATAACTGATTCCTTAACTTTAACCTTTATTTGGGTAACATCAATGTGTTTTTTGGTAAAAATCATGAAGTGTGTTTTTTTAATATTGATTACAAGTTTATTTATATATAACCAATCAACCAGTTTAGCAAATTCTGTATTAAAAATATTTTGAAGAGATACAATATCTTGATGGGACATAAACACACTAGTGTCATCTGCAAATAATATCAGTTCTAGCACTTTTGAAACATTGCAAATATCATTTACATATAAAAGAAATAATAATGGCCCAAGAATTGAGCCCTGGGGCACTCCACATCTTATCGTCATTGTCTGTGATTCACATTTTTCTAGAACAACATATTGTTTGCGATTACTTAAATAACTTTTGAACCATTCCAGTACAATACCTCTAAAACCATAACATTCCAATTTTTTTAATAATATTGAGTGATCAAGAGAATCAAAAGCCTTGCTAAGATCTAAAAACAGGCCAATCATTATTTCTTTATTATCAAAGGCATTTGTAACTTTATGAATAAAATCAGTGATGGCAGAAGAAGTAGAGTGTCCCGCTCGAAAACCAAATTGTTTGGGAGTAATAATATCGCACTTTTCCAAGAATTTATATACACGACTATATACACATTTCTCTAAAATCTTTGAAAAAATAGGAAGAATAGATATGGGCCTATAATTTGATAAATTATCATTTGATCCATTTTTATAAATAGGAATAACCTTTGCAATTTTAAGTTTGTCTGGGACAACACCAGTATTTAAAGATAAATTGATAATATCACATAAAGGGTAACATAAAATATGAATAACATTTTTAACCAATGTGATATCCACTCCATCAAAACCAGGACTCTTGCCATTTTTAAGTTTAGAAACAATATTAATAACTTCTTTTGGTGTACACGGAGTAAAAAATGCAGATGAATTATTTTTTATTACATGTTGCATACAGTCCCCAGAATTTACAAAAGAAGAAGACAGTGTATGGCCTATATTTACAAAGTATTTGTTAAAAGCATTACACATTGCTGCTGTCTCATTTATCATTGCATCATTGCACTGAATTGAACTTGGTAGCACCTTCTTCTTTACACCCCTACCCAGTACTCCATTGATTATTTTCCATGTGTTTTTCATATCACCTGCAGCATTTTGAAATTTACCTTTAAAATATGCTCTCTTTGTTTCTTTAATTTCTTCAGTTACCTTATTTCTGAAATTCTTGTATTTTTCATGTCTTTCTGGAGTTGGTTTTTTAACATATCGTCGGTATAAGTAACATTTTTTATTACAGAGCTTACGTAGTGGTTTATTAAACCATGATTTATTTTTGAATTTCTTTTTAACTGACTTTTTAATTGGAAAGCATGACTCATAAATGTTTAAAAACTTTTGCAAAAAATCATTATAGGCTTCATTAGCATCATGATTTTCAACAGATCAACATACATTCATAATTTTATTTACAAAAAGCTGTGAATTTTCTTCATTAAAATCACGTTTAACAGAAGCATTTTCCTTTTTTATTTGTAACTGTAGATTTGAGATTGAAAAAACTGGAAAGTGATCACTGACATCACCGAGGATAACACCTGCAAATATTTCTTCTAAATCATTAGTCAAAATATTATCTAACAAGGAAGCAGAATGATTGGTTACACGTGTTGGAGTATGAATAAGAGGGTAGATGTTGTTCAACATACAAACATCAAGAAATTCATTGACTCTCTTGCAAGATGTAACTTTTAATAAATTTAAATTAAAATCACCCATTAAATACAATAATTTATTTTCTTTTTTTACAATATTTAAAATTTCATCAAATGATTCAATAAAAGATTGCACCGATTGGTTTGGTGGACGATAAATTACCCCTACTATAATATTCTTGGTGAAATTAGAAATTTCTACAAAAATAGACTCAAAATGAACAGTATTTAAATCTAAATCAGCTCTACTTTTAAAATCTATATCATTTCTAATATATATTGCAACTCCTCTACCTCTTTTAGCTTCTCTCCCATTACCTAAAAATGAATAATGATCAATGTTATAAAAACAATCACTCTCTTTCAGCCACGTTTCTGTTATACCTAAAAGCGAAAATTGCACATCCAAAGTATTAAGAAATATAGTTAAATTTTCAAAATTCTTATTCATACTCCTGCAATTACAATGCAAGCTAGAAAAGACATGTGAATAGTTCTTTAATTTTGTTTTACTGTAATCATTAAATTCATCTGGGGTATAAAAAGATTGGGAAGGCCCGTAATTGTATCCATTTTCATTATTCTCAGGAGACAGATATTCATGAATAGTTTGTAAATCAATAGATTGTAAAGATTGCACATAACTTTGTTTCTCAGACATGCTCACTACACACATACACAGACACACCTACAAATATAAACAGGAAAAAAAGGGAAAAAGGGAAGAAAAAAAAAAAAAAAAAAAAAAGAAAAGAAGAAAGTTCAATGGAGATAAACGGCAAAAAACAAAACAAAAACAACGGCAAATGTTCGGTGTATTGTAAGAAGAAAAGCCACTAGGAGCCTATATAAAATTCATCAAGAACTGAAGATCATTAAAATAGAAATAAAAAATTACAGCTTCTGTAAGTCCTCTTTGCGTGTGATGAGATGCTTCATTGTCCCATTTGTAGTTGCAGCACTTACATAAATACGTCCACCTAATGACCATGCTGCTAGAACCTTAGGGCAGGCCTGGGCATCACTCAACAGTTTGAAGTTAGACGCTGTCAGGTCTTCAAACACAGATATGTGAGATCCTTTCAGTTTCCTTCTATTTGCGATTAGCTGTTGACAGCATTTGTAGGAGCGAAACTTTACGATGATACCCCTGCTCCTAGCCTTGTCAGCTGGAACTTTTCCTACACGGTGACTGCGATCGATGTCACTCGGGTCGAAGGTGATTCCCATTTGCCGTGCGACATCATAAACGATTTCATCTGTATTTTCTTGCGGTTTTTCCTTGACTCCAAAAATGCGTACACAGTTTCGACGCGAGTACTGCTCCAATGAATTGATGTTTCGTTTAAGGCTATGCGCTTCTTCATTACGGCTGTTAAGCTCCTTCTGAAGCGATTTGAACTGTTGATCCTGTTGATCCTTCCCATTCTGAACACCCATGAGGTCACTCTCCAGCTTGTCACATCTGGTCTCCATAGAACTCAGCTTTGTCTCAAGGTCACGTATTTGAGCATCCCTCACTTTCCCTGTTGATACAAATTCAGTGATGCAAGCTTCTTGTTGTATAAGTCTGTCTAAAATTGTACCAAGTTTCTTCTCTACGCCATCTGAAATTGCCTGAAAGAACTCCTCTTTTTCAAAAAGTTCAGCCAGAACGGCTTTAACTGTCTTGATAGACATTGTAAATTGGCAAGAGGATAATGAAAATATCAGAAGACAAGGCAAGAGCACTGCGCCGGAAGTCACGGTACTACAAATGTCAATAAATACAGCAAAAGGAACTGGTGGGACTGAACAAACGATTGACGTGTAACTTACAAGCTTGTAATCCGAACAAATAAAGACCAATTCCAAACTGCTGCCACACTTGACTCCTAATATTGGCAGTTGATGATGTTTAGAAGCACTACATATCAAAAACAGTCAAATGAAGATGATGAAGAAGAGAAATGAGTAGTAAAAATAGAAAATTCTTGCAGCTAAAAAAACTCGTAGGAGACGTCAAAGAGCGCCATCGTTTTAGGAAATAAAATGTGAAGAAAAAGAAAAATAATTATTTAAAGGCAACTTTTTATTAGCTCTACAGTCATGTCAGTACATTTAAGCACAACATTTTAGCCAGGGAAAGACATACTACCTGCAGTTTTCTCTTTTATTATTTACGAAATATCATCGAAATTTGCTGACATACAAATAAAATGCCAATGAGTGAGGTCCAGTAGCTTTATTGAGTTGGAAGACTATGCAGCTCCGTCCAATATGTATTATTTAAACGTACATGAATTTTGTTGGGATAGATGAATCTATATAATTTAAGCCAAGTTTCTTTCTTTGGAAAAAAGGCCCTATCCAGGATGGTAGCCCTCTAGGCCTAGAAAGTGGGGCAATCCCAGATTCGAGCCTGACAGCTTTTAGTGAGTACAACGCCAACCACGGTCCGCGTCGAGCGCGGTTAAACATGGCTAAAGTCGGAGCCCTGACTGGAGGATGGTCTGCCAAAATAAACGATTTGAACCAGTGGATTCAGGTTAGTCTATATTCCTGAATTTCTTTCTTGTTTGTTTGAAGTTTCACTACATAAAGCTTCTCAAGCTCATAAAGGGTATCTCTCCGTCACAACACGAAATCTGTCTCACCTTGTTACTCAATCAACCAAGAGATCACAAGAACAAATATTCCTTTAAATATTAATTCCTTCTGAAAATACTGACAGACTGGAAATCTGTTCAACGATCTATATTTAACATTTAATCCCGACGTATATAAGGCTCATGACCAACAGCATTTTCAATTATACATGTATTAATTAAGTATTTAATGCACACACCGTGTCCGAGAGCTGAGCCGTATTACTACAAGTACATGTTCAAAAATAGACATAAATACTTCAGATCAAGCGTTCAAGAATAAGCTATCCTGCAACTGAACCACGTAACCAATCAACATCTACATTCTATTGAAGAAATTAATTTAGATATAGGGCACAGTTTTAACTGAATAAACAAAAAATATCAACAAATTCCGAAAAATACCCCAACCCCTTCCCCCTACCAAAAAAAAGAGGAAAAAAGGAAGAAGACCAAGATCCGAATGCCAAAAATCAAAAAACAAATCGCTAAGTTTAACTATTATTATTTTTCACAAGGAATTGAGAAAGGAACTCCGTAGAGTTAAATATAAATGTCACGTTAATACAACAAGTTTGTACATATATGTGTATATACAAAAATCGTTTTTACTATTTCCATTTACAATATAATTATCATTCAAATCTCAGGTTGATCTTTTAGCTACGTACAGCATCGTAAGAGTGGCAACACAAGGTCGTGAGGATTATTCCCAGTGGGTAACCAGCTTCAAGATTGCCTGCAGTATGGATAGTGTTACCTTTGATACAGTTAAAGACCCCACTAACACCGACAACGACAATGTAGGTACCGATTTACTCATCCTTCGACCATAATCAGTTAATTGGTCGATTACCAGTCAAGTGTGATTCGTTTATTGAGCGTTTCTTAATTCCTTTTTTTTCTTCATGATATTCATCTTAGCATTTATCTCTCTTTTTGAATTTACACGTTGTTCTTTTTGCGTGTTTTCCTCAGATTTTTCCCGGCAATAGTGATCGAAACACCGTGGTTTACAATCGCTTTCCCGTGCCAATGTCGTATCGATATGTTCGCCTTTTACCTTACACATGGTATCAACATATTTCCCTTCGTATGGAGTTCTTTGGAGAACTCCTTGGTGAGTGTGTAGATGAGCTAGTAGGATGACACCCCGGGTTATTGCCCGCGGAACGCACCTTGATTTTTTTTTTGGGGGGGGGGGGGGCGTTGAGTTGACAGTTAACAGATAAATATTTCAACTGCTCAGGTTATGAAATGCTTTAAAACGAAACACATTATAAACCTTTTTCATTCAATAATTAGGAATATTTATATATGAGAAGAAGAAACAATTTCAGAACAGTGACATTTCGAGACAAATATGAAGAAAAAGAAAAATAATTATTTAAAGGCAACTTTTTATCAGCTCTACAGTCATGTCAGTACATTTAAGCACAACATTTTAGCCAGGGAAAGACATACTACCTGCAGTTTTCTCTTTTATTATTTACGAAATATCATCGAAATTTGCTGACATACAAATAAAATGCCAATGAGTGAGGTCCAGTAGCTTTATTGAGTTGGAAGACTATGCAGCTCCGGCCAATATGTATTATTTAAACGTACATGAATTTTGTTGGGATAGATGAATATATATAATTTAAGCCAAGTTTCTTTCTTCGGAAAAAGGCCCTATCCAGGATGGTAGCCCTCTAGGCCTAGAAAGTGGGGCAATCCCAGATTCGAGCCTGACAGCTTTTAGTGAGTACAACGCCAACCACGGTCCGCGTCGAGCACGGTTAAACATGGCTAAAGTCGGAGCCCTGACTGGAGGATGGTCTGCCAAAACAAACGATTTGAACCAGTGGATTCAGGTTAGTCTATATTCCTGAATTTCTTTCTTGTTTGTTTGAAGTTTCGCTTCATAAAGCTTCTCAAGCTCATAAAGGGTATCTCTCCGTCACAACACGAAACCTGTCTCACCTTGTTACTCGATCAACCAAGAGATCACAAGAACAAATATTCCTTTACATATTAATTCCTTCTGAAAACACTGACAGACTGGAAATCTGTTCAACGATCTATATCTAACATTTAATCCCGACGTATATAGGGCTCATGACCAACTGCATTTTCAATTATACATGTATTAATTAAGTATTTAATGCACACACCCAGTCCGAGAGCTGAGCCGTATTACTACAAGTACATATTCACAAATAGACATAAATATTAAGATCAAGCGTTCAAGAATAAGCTATCCTGCAATTGAACCACGTAACCAATCAACATCTACATTCTATTGAAGAACTTAATTTAGATATAAGGCACAGTTTTAACTAAATGAAAAAAAAAAAAAAATCCGAAAAATACCCCCACCCCTTTCCCCCTACCAAAAAAAAAAAGAGGAAAAAAGGAAGAAGACCAAGATCCGAATGCCAAAAATCAAAAAACAAATCGCTAAGTTTAACTATTGTTATTTTTCACAAAGGAATTGAGAAATGAACTCCGTAGAGTTAAATATAAATGTCACGTTAATACAACAAGTTTGTACATATATGTGTATATACAAACATCGTTTTACTATTTCCATTTACAATATAATTATCATTCAAATCTCAGGTTGATCTTTTAGCTACGTACAGCATCGTAAGAGTGGCAACACAAGGTCGTGAGGATTATTCTCAGTGGGTAACCAGCTTCAAGATTGCCTGCAGTATGGATAGTGTTACCTTTGATACAGTTAAAGACCCCAATAACACCGACAACGACAACGTAAGTACCAATTTACTCATCCTTCGACCCTAATCAGGTAATTAGTCGATTACCAGTCACGTGTGATTCGTTTATTGAATGTTTGTTCATTCCTTTTTATTCATGATGAAATTACACGTTATTCTTTTCTCAAGTGATCGATCTTGCGTGTTTTCCACAGATCTTTCCAGGCAATAGTGACCGAAACACCGTGGTTTACAATCGCTTCCCTGAGCCAATGACGTGTCGATATGTTCGGCTTTTACCTTACACTTGGCATCAACATATTTCTCTTCGTATGGAGCTCGTTGGAGAACTCCTTGGTGAGTTTCAGTCGCCTTAATTCAAATAAAGAAAGGGTAAAATGTGATGTGGTATATATTACATGAGCTAGTTTACCAGGGTGACGGCCACGGGTTGTTGCCCGTGATAATATTTCGAGGGGGGGGGGGGTTCATGGTTAACAGAGTAAAGAATATAACAGCTCAGGCTATGAAATGCTTTAGAATAAAGAAAAACATTATTAACTTTAATCATTTAATCATTGGAAATATTAACAAATGAGAAGAAGAAAAACAAATTCCCAGAACAGCAATTTGCTTTATGACTATTTACGGACTAATTTGGATTACATAATGTGTTATATATATATATCATCCTATTATGCCCAATGCTGTTTCACTATGTGATAATGCAGTCTAATGAGTGTTGTCTAAAATAAAATTGGTATCGAGGTTGTTAAAGGTAAAGACCATTTCTGGTCATGCGATTGCATTGTGAAAGAAACATAGTGGAATCGATCAGAAAGGGTTGAGCATCTACCATATAGGTATTGGTGTGTACTGCAAGGTTCTGGAATCTTCAAAGTGATAAGAAATTTGGTCCACTCTTGGTAAAGTCACAAGCACTGTACACATAAAGACGTATATGGGACTACGCGATATCTATCCAGGCCGGATAGATATGACAATTTACCAATTATATCATTTAGTAGGCGGGTTCCCGGCAAAATTTGTATCATCACGTTTTAGTCAAAACGTATTGGTAATAAGAGCTTCCATTTCTTTTTTTTTGAGAGGGGGGCGTTCCCAGAACTAGTCTATACCTTTAGCAGAACCTCATAGAAGACCACTTTTAAATGAGCCATCCTGTACATGTATGATTATTTGAATTGAATAAATGATGTAAGGAATTAATATGTAAAAAATTTAATAAATAATCTAATGTGTAAAAGAGTAAATAGATGAATAAATGAATAAACAATTAAGTATTTTCTATTAAACTCCAGCATCAACTGAAGCATCAACAACCTTGAAGACATCATGTAAAGGAGCTATCGCTATGAACGCTTCGCCCAGAACATGTACAAAGCCCATACAGCTGTTTACGATTCTATTCGGGGTCGTACTACGATGGCTTTACTGAATGGTACAAGCTATTACGAGCACTTAACACGCAGTTACGAGTACTTTACGAATAGGTACGTATACTTTACGTATTCTTACGTATTGTTTACGATTTTGGAAAACGTACGAAATCTACAAAATCGCAACTAAAATCGTAACTAACCAGTAGCCTTTCGTAACAACTCGTAAACAGGTCATAAAATACCCATAATTAACTCATAGTTATCTGTCGCAACTCGTAACAACTCGTAAAATTGTTTCCGTAAATACATCGTAATAACTCGTAACAATCCGTAATAGACCGTAAATAGCTCGTAATAACTTGTAACAACTCCTAAATCGAAAATGATATCGCTAGTGACATTCGTATTTCTCGCAATGTATGGTCAACAAGGGATCTAAAAGATCACGACGTTTCGTGTGCCGCTGCTACACTCCGTCAGGTGATAAAGTATATTATTAAGCAAGCGTCTTTTATGCTAGGAGTCCACTGGGCCAGCGCCAGTTGGTGCCAGTTTGCGCCAATGCAATTTACTGCGGCGCCTAGTGTCGCCAATAAGGTGCCTAGTGGCGTGTAGTGGCTCAAACTGCCTCCCAACTGGCTCGTGGTGGCCCGTAACGGCACCAAATTTGAATGTGGCGGCAAGAAAATTTCAAAATGTTTGAAATTTTCGTCGCGCCACTTGCATCGAGCTATCAGCGCCAAGTTTCCGCCAAGTGGCACCAAATGGCGCGAACATATCGCCCTTTGGCGCAAACAATCCGCCTATTGGAATCCACCGGAATCCACTGGAATGTAATGGCGCGCCAAGTTGCGCCAATGAGAAGACGGACAACTTGAGACCAGGGGGAATGGCCTTCCTGAAGTGGGTGTCCTTCTTCTGCAAGTGGGGTGTAAGCCTGACCAACAGGTCATCAAACATCTCTGGGGACATCCTGGTGTAGTTCCTCCTGTCATTCTCCCTCAGCTCTTCCATCAAAGTATGGTACTGTCCACGTTCGGCCCTCAACTGTGGGTGGAGCATGGGTCTAAACCACCAGTTGTGCTTCCTTTTCTTCTTAGGAGGCTCTTCTTCTTCAGGATTGGCCAGCATAAGTTGATAGGAAGTGGCCACCTCAGCATCTCTCATCATCTTCTGATGGAGCAGCATCATCACTCCAACATTATCAAAAGCCTCAGACACATCAAAATTGTAAATATTTGGTAGAGATGTTGTTCATACAACAGCTGAGGAGGGTCTGAACCAGGTAGCCGATGGCCGGTATTTAGATAGTCGGCAAGTAGCGCCAAGCGGCGACAAGTTCAAACCAATTTGGCGACATTTGGCACAAACTAATCACCAAGTGGCGCAAAGTAGCCGTCTATTGGCGCGAATGGCGCCAACAGGGTGAATTTTGGAATCAAATGGCCATGTAATGGCGCGAACTGGCTCAAAATGGCGCAACATTTTGGAGCAAGCCGGGTGGCATTTGGCGCACGCCATATGGCACCCAGTTTATTCCACTTGGCGACACATGCCGAGCGGACATTAATTCGGCGCCACAGCGAGCCACTACGCGCCAATCACATAATCTTTGGCGCAAACTGGCACCAACTGGCGCTGGCCCAGTGGACTCCTAGCATTATACTCTAGGGATGGACCGGGTGGAGCGGCCGTCAATAATTAAAACAATAACAGACAAAGCCAATTGATCAAAGCACACGGGTGCTCAACCAATCAACAGGCCGTCGCCTCGGCTCGCCTGCCCGGGGAGAACATTGGCTACTCGACCAATAGGCATGGTCCGTTATTGTTCTAACTATTCGACCGCCGGTCAACCCGGTCCATCCGTAGAGTATAAAAGACGCTTGCTTACAATATATTTTATTACCTGACGAATTGTAGCGGCGGCACACGAAACGTCGTGATCTTTTAGATCCCTTGTTGACAATACATTGTGAGACAAACGAATGTCACTAGCGGTTTATTTTCGATACTATATCCGTAATAAATAATATATTTAGGGTAGTAAATTTTCATTGGGTGTATCAAGTTTATTTGATAAATTGGGTCCTATATTTACAAATGGGAATTAATGGTATCGGATATATCTTCAGACTTTATAACTGTATCAACTATTGTAAATTCTCAATTGGGCATTTTTTTCTTCTTTCCAATCAAATTATTTATAATTAATTTAATATAATTCGGTATGTTGTATATATTTTTGTTTATATGAATGGTAGAGTTCATTTTGATTAGCCTTGTACAGTTTATTCATTGTGTGTATCTACCGTATAATTTCTTTTGTTATCCATTGCATTTTACGACGCTTATTTTTCTTGTTAGCTGATACTAAAACAACATTTTAGTAAAAATATGTCGGTAATTTTGATTTTTTTCGTTTGATTTTTTTTTTTTTGTGTATGCCATACCTGCATTTGATTCATCAGAGACATCCAACCATTCTTTGTAATGATACACTATATTAGGGTGGAGTTTTCTGTACATGTTTTATTAGGCTGGCTTTTTCATTGAAATGTCATTATTATGACACAATTAAAAATTGACAAATGATCAGATATATCAGAATATATTAATCCACTGGTAATATTTTTACCAAAGATATATGAACAAAATATTGTCTATATGGGTTGAAAATTGACTATCAATTCTGGTTGGTGTATTTATATGTGGATAACCAAATGTATCCTGGTAGCTACAATTAGATAACAGGTCAATATTGAAGTCACCAATTAAGTATAAGTGTTTACTTTCTCCAGTAAGAGTATGAAAGAATTTATCAAGATCTTCACAAAATAAATCTGTATGACCATGAGGAGGTGTATAAACTAATCCAACGATTATTATGTGTGTTGTTTGGATTAATGATTTCTAAACATAATGATTCACTTCGTTTTAACGATAGTTCTTTTCGGATTTAAATTGTAAATGTTCATTGACATAACATGCGACACCACCTCATTGTATTTCTTCAAGATCTAGGTCACGTATTATAAAGAGTTATGACTGATATTAAATTAATCAATACACGATAAGCCATAGACTTACGCTCCATAGCAACCGTACGGTCAATCACAAGGCTTTATAATACATGGCCATAGTCTGATCAATGTAAAATTTTGCAAGTGAAATAAAGTACGCGAAGTGTTATGAACCAAAGTTTCAGTGACACCAATAATGAAAAAGGGAACATTATAAAGAGTATGCAGCAATGTTTGCAAGGAATCAACATTTTTGCCTTAACTTGTACCATTTACGTATTAAAAGTAAAGTAGATTTATGGTGTGCTTTGTGAAAACTAAATTCATCAGAAGATACATTGTTGTATTGAAAATGGATAACAGTTTTACATCATTATTCATGAATATTAATCATTATTACCAATTTATTTGATTAAAGGTATACTAACTGGGTTGCATGTAAAGTTTCTGTGTCGTACTAGTATGATGGTGGTAGTGAACTTGATATGAAACGAGAATGGAATGTGAGGAGATAATGATAGGTTAACATGAAATGCATAACATAAGAATGCATGATGATGAGATCCTAAAGCGTTTACTAAATGATTATCTTTCATTATGACAAGCTCGCACATTTTGAGCACCTCAACCATATAAAGTACATTAACAATTATGGAACCCTTTGATGAAACACTTTGTTACGGAATCACTGCACTACTTGGCAACGTATTTGATGTCTTAATAGTAACATATGGATTAGTAATATTATACTTAGTTTATCAGGAATCAATCTGTTCTCAATTCTACCTCACATTTAAACTCTAATGATCTAAATATGATGCAGAACCGAGAAAAAAAATCCTTCAATAGAGAGAGCAGATCCGGGACATAGGTTTCACATATTTAGTTTCCAAAATGATTATGAACTACAGATGCAATAAACAGACGAGGTATAAATTATCCAATTAAACAGGTAATTTTTATATGCATGGCTTGCAGTTGTAAATGTATAACTATGTACTAGTAATATTTCCTATATGTCACAGTTTGGCTTCCATAAAAGCACAGTACAACACATGCCCTTTTGACTCTAAGTAAATAAGGTGGTTCGCTCTATTGACAATTTCGTCCATACGGTTTTTTTTTTCTTGGATTTCTGGAAGGCCTTTGACACGATAAGTCACGAAAACAAAATACAAAATGTCTAACTACGGAATCAGAGGAATAGCCTTGGATTGGTTTAAGAACTACCTCCACAGTAGAAAGCAATATGAATCCTAGATGATGCACATTCTTTAATAAAGACCATTGAATGTGGTGTGCCTTAAGGTTCTAGTTAGGTCGATTACTTTTTATTGTACGTATTGATGACTTTTACATGTCCTCAACAACCCTGCCCTTCCTTTTGTTTGGTGACGACTCTAACATTTTTTGTTCTCATCAAGACCCAGAAATTTAACTGATAACAATGAGCTATCAATTACGAGTAGATGCTGACTGGATCAAGGCAAATAAATTGTCATTGAATTTACACACAAAAAAAAGTTTATGCTCTTTATTAATATTATTAATAACTGACGAGGAAATAGGTGATAAACTTTCATGGAAATTGCATGTTCATAATGTTTGTAAAATAATCTCTTGAAATATTTGTATTTTGAACAAAGTAAAATTGTACAGAGCGTATCAATAACAAGGTGGCTCCTAATTGAACATTCATAACCAATATGACTTTGGAATTGTTTTCATGATAAAAAGTAACCTATTTTCTGTCCAATGATACCCTATTCATCATAATTTCTGCCACGGGTGAAAAGTGTTGACAAAATCGTCTTGTTCCAAGTTTGTGCTTTAGGGACCAATGTATTAAAGTGAGGCCATATAATACCAAAAGTTAAATTGTGCTTTGTGCTTCAGAGCTTCATTGTTCAAAATGATGTAACTAGGCTTTCACAGAAGCTTGTTTCAATCTAAAGGATAACCTTTATGTATTTTAAACAGCCTACTAATTTCTTGTATCATGATATCTTATGCTAGGAGTCCACTGGGCCAGCGCCAGTTGGTGCCAGTTTGCGCCAATGCAATTTACTGTGGTGCCTAGTGTCGCCAATAAAGTGCCAAGTGGCGTGTAGTGGCTCAAACTGCCTCCCAACTGGCTCGTGGTGGCCCGTAACGGCACCAAATTTGAATGTGGCGGCAAGAAAATTTCAAAATGTTTGAAATTTTCGTCGCGCCACTTGCATCGAGCAATCAGCGCCAAGTGTCCGCCAAGTGGCACCAAATGGCGCAAATATATCGCCCTTTGGCGCAAACAATCCGCCTATTGGAATCCACTGGAATGTAATGGCGCGCGCCAAGTTGCTCCAATGAGATTTCGCGCCCCATGGCGCCATCATCTCAGCATCTCTCATCATCTTCTGTTGGAGCTGCATCATCACTCCAACATTATCAAAAGCCTCAGACATATCAAAATTGTGAATATTTAGTAGAGATGTAGGTCACAGCAGATGAGGAGGGTCTGAACCAGGTAGCCGATGGCCGGTATTTATATAGTCGGC